AGAAGACCATAGAATTAATTGAATGTTTATGATAAAAAAATTGATTATCTATTTTTATAATGATATTATTATTTTAAATATTATTAGATTTTAGTTTATTTTTTATATGAATTGAATGGATTTGAGTCTTAGATCACCAAGAATGGCACATTAAAAGTTTTTTAAGTTTAAACTTTGATGTTTTCAAAGATAAGAATCCAAAAGAAGATGCATAAATAAATGAGATAAGTATCAAAGAAAGGTGATAAAATGATAATAAGAAAGTTTACATATTTAAGAAAAAATTGGAATGGCTATTGACAAAGACTAGAAATCTAAAGATTCTTGAAACTAGATTAAAAGCAAGAAAGGAATTGACAAGAGTAAAGAAGACTTCATTCTTGCTTCTATATATACTATCTATCTAAGAATTATGTGTTAATATTCTATAAGTCTTCTATTATGTATCCAATTTTCAAAACACATGTCTTAACTTGCAAAGAAAATTTCCTATATATGCACCATATTATTTTTATTACATATAATACATGGCTAACTTGTTGGCCAAGTTTTTAACCTACCAATCACCTATAGACATATGTAGAAGTAAAATTACATCTATGAAGCTTTTAAAAAGCTTTTCTATAAGATGTTAAAAAATTAATTTATTTTTATTTATTTCTACTTATTCATATTATTCAGATAACTATTAGAATAAATATGTCTACAACAAATGCTTTGATTGTAATGGATTTTGTTTTTTTATGTGTATTTTGTGGTTTCAATAAAAAAGATAGAATCTTTGATGCATAGATTAAAATAATCTAGAATTGGGTTGTATCATTTTATAATTTGAAACCATGTATTAGCTTTGAAGTGTAGATGTTGTCTATTAAAATCAATCAAATGAATATATTTTACTTTTATTTTATATTAATTACAAATAATGATGAAAATTATTGTTGTTTTAAAAACTTAACACATATATATTTGTGCATTGATAAACAAGTAAATGAAAGAGTCTGTCACTTTTAAATTTGTCTTTTGGTAGCTTGTTATTTGGTTTTGTTTTTTATTTTTTATTCTTTTTGGAATAAATTATATAAAATATGATTTGAATTTAGATTATTTGATATAAATAAAAAATAATGATTAGATTTAATACATATATATATATATGAATTTTCATGAACATAGCTACACTCTTTATTTTAGGATATTTGAATCAATAGAGTTTTTAAAATACAAAAATAATATTATATAAAGCTTTTATATATTCTTAAAAAAATTATACAAATATAGTTATATATATATATATAATTTATTTTTATATCTATTTTCATTTAAAATATATTAGCTTTTTATTTTTTCTAAATACAATAATTTTTGTATCATTACATATTTTTTTATTAAAAAAATGATTTGGAAGGTTAAATAAATAAACAAGTAATAAAACATAATTTATTATGTCAACAGAAATAAGAGGCTATGATTCCTATGCCTAAATTCAATAAAGTTAGTACACTACACACTAAAAACATTTCAATAAAACATGACAAAACAAAGTACATTTGTAGTCTTATTTATATATACTTCTATCTAAAGGGTGCAAATTACTTTTAATACATTTATATGGAAAATTTTCACCCAAGGTTCTGCTAGAATTTCATAACATTTTAGAACATATTGAAAAGTGTTTTGAAGTTAGATTCCTAGAAGTCTATGTGATCTTAAAATAAGTTCAAAAATCTAAAAACATCAAAAAATACTTTAAATACTGTTACCCAAAATTGATATTCATACAATATTATCATCTTCCAGAAATATTTTTATCTAAAAAGAACCACCAATGAATGATTTTGGTATTGCATTAGTCCACAAAGACTACATATATGTTGAAAATGAAAAAGGATAAAACATTAAAAAAATAAAAAATAAAAAATAAAAAATCTTCACATGATATTCTGAAATATATATATATATATATATATATATATATTCACATACATAAATACACTCATTTATTTGTACAGTGCTAATATTGTATTAGTCCTCCAAAAGATTTTCAAAAATGCTTACAAAAATAACTTAGGCATTAATTCTTACAACCATTAAGCTTTTCTCTCCCTGATCAGATGACTAAGGTATGATTTTATTGGTTATGTTTTGATACTGTAAAAAATGTAATGTTTAATTTAAACTTCTCTTAATACATTTTTCAACTTGATTTTGGACATTGATCTTTTACATTTCGAATCCTTTTTGCATCATCAAGACAAAGATTTTTTAACCAATTTAAAAAGATGTATGAAGAGTGTATTTTCAACAACTACTTTAGAACAATTGCTGAATCTTCAAAACGATATGATTCAAAGTTGCCACTTTTCAAAAAAAAAGTTAAAAATATATATTTTCAGAAAACACATTATATTTTACAGGATAGATTCTATAGTAACCAAATGTGTATTCTACAAGTATGAATTTTGATTAAGGTATTTGTGTAAAGAAGTTTGAGATTAAAAATAATCTTAAAGAATCTTAAATTCTAAATTAACAAATTAAGGCCCCTATTTTGTTTACTAGCCTTTGTATACCTCTTTCCTTTACAGTTTAGAAACTGAGAGGTCATGGCCTGTTTATTGTATAATCACAAAGGTAGAGTGAACTTGCTTGAATTTAATACAATGCTTGCTTTATTATTTATTATTAATTTTTGGATAGTTTAATGAAATCAAAAAAAATAAAACTCTTTTTCTACACAGTCGCATTATTTTACACATCAGTTTTTCATAATTATTTATTGAAACTAAGCCAAATTCTTTAAATAATTTTATTTTCAACTCAAAATAAACTTTTCATTTTAAAAAACATCATTGTAGATGTGTCAAAATGAAATAATAAAACACGTCATGATATGATTTGAGTAAAGAGGAAAATTTGGATTCAAGCTAACAAACACTCTCTTACATCTTTGAAGAAAATTATGTGAAATTATTTTTAGACAATTTGTTTCTTAATTGAAGTTACTCCATTCCATTCATGATTATGCAACAATTAAAATAAGTGAACTTGGCATGGATTTGACTAAGGATAGAATTGTAGATTACGCAATTAGACAATATTTAATGGAAATTGAATGGATAGAGTATTGATTGACTTGGACTTAGTCTTATTTTATTATTTGTTTAATTTTATTCTTATTTACTTGATAAAAGGTATTAAAAATAATTTAAACTACTTAAAATGAAGCTTTGGTAAAGTTTGTTTAATTTTTAACTTTTAATACATCTCATATTGCAAAGTATTCTGACTTATTGACAAGTGTATGAATGTAAAATAAAGAAAGGGATGACTCAAAGACATTATATTTCACTTTTCATTTTTAAATATGATATATTTAGAAGGAGGTGTTATTAAATAGAATCTAGTCAAAAGATCATGCCCCAAAACATTTGAAGACTAAAGAGTGTAGATATCACAACACTTGAGGATTATTACATCAAAAAAAACAACAACAACACTTTAGATAGTTCTAAATTGCATGGGTTTGAAATATAAAATCTCATCTAGGTACTTTTTTTTTTTTGTTTTTCTTTTACTTCTTTCTCAAAAATCATATCTATTAAACCAAATCTTTTCACACTATTCTGAATCAAATTTGTGTTGTTTAATGTACATGTTTATATATATATATATATATATATATATATATATATAATAAATATATTTATATGAAGATGTATCATTTATCCAACATTTCAATATCTTTAAATCTCAATTTGTAAGATAAAAAGAAAATACTAAATCTTCAACATTATATGAAGTGGAGACATTATTAAAGAAAAAATGAAACATGTGGGTCCAACGTCTAAAGTCCACACTCTCAAACTTTCACTTGGAATTGTGGGTGACAAACTGATGGTTTTCTGAAATCTTTCCATCTAATACAAAACTTAAGTTAATCAAAAATGAAACTTAAAATCAAACGCACACCGTGCTTTGAAGATACATCAAGCTATGCATAAAACGGACACTACTTTTAACACGCTTTGTAAATTGAAAAGTCAAAATCCGCACTCTACTATTATATTGTTGTACTGGATAGATAGTCTCATTTTTTTTTTTTAATTTCTTAGTATTATTAGTACTAGTATTAACTGTTTGCTTTGCTGTAGAAACATGGTGTAATAGAACGTTTTTCTTTATTGGTTTGAAACGAGACTTGACTGTGGTCTTGCAGGAATGTTGTTATTTTATCAAGCTTGCGAAAGTAAAAGAAAATTTGTCTAGAAGCGAGACTAACAAACAAACCAGTCGCGGAAGCAGGAGTTTCGCCGGAAGTCGCACATTTTCTGAACAGAATATGCCAGATTTTCCGTTGCGGCTTGTGCGACTTGCCTCAAGCAAGTTTCCAGAAGCAGCGACAAACGGCTGAATGTGTGTTGACGGGGTAGAATAACGGGGGTTTGACAAAGTGTGAGCTAACAACAAGCAAACAAACAATCAAACAACTAAACGATTAAACAAACGGTGCCAGTGCCGAGTCTCGGAGGCAGCGAAAGGCAACGGAAAGGGGGAAAGAGGGCAAAGGAGGCAGGCGTGGGTGGGGTGATGTCAGAGTAGCGGCGAGATATCTGGACACCGTCAGAAGTGTAGGGGCTTGACCACATCCCAACATGGCCTTGACCACACACTTTCATTCATTCATTCATGCTCACACAACAGAACACACTGACTGACTGAATTACTGACAGGCTCACTGACTCGTTTGCTTGCTCGCTCAGATCTGGCTTGGCTGGCTTCGATGAGGGGGAGATGCCGAAGCCGCGCTGGTGGTGGGGGCGATGGGGGCTGGGTCCCACACGAGTGGGACCCAGTCGCGGTGGATGATGCCTTCCGACGCGGACGCATTGCTAGATTGTAGCGAAATGCTGGACTGGAGCAACACTGTTACAGCAGCAGCGTGTACCGGATGCTTGCTTGTTTTGTTTAGCTTTGCTTTGCTAGCTAGCTTGAGAGGCGGGAAGGATAATATACCGCGAGGAGGTGGTGGTGGTGTGGTTGGGTTTACCGCGAGAGAGCGCCACTGGGGTGGTTGTGGTGGTGGGTGTCCAGCGAGGTTTGGAGCCCTGATTGGGCGCTTTTCTTGGGGTCCTCGTGCCTTTTCCTTCTCCTTTGACTGGACCGGGCGTAGACCCATCTGCCACGACCGGAATTACAAACTCTCTGGTGGTGGTGCCACTCTCGTGCTGCTGTGCTCCCTTTCCATATAAGAGCTGCGCCTCACTGGGACTTGGTTGTCTCCAGGTTGTGCACTCCAGCGTTGTGGTTCCTTCAATGGTGCATTTTTTATCAGTAAGCCTTATTGGTTTTTAACTTGTTGGTGGCGCGGGAGACAATCGTCTTGGTGTTTACGGTTGAAAGCTTTGGATTGGCTTGTAGTTTGCCGTTGAAGCAAGCAGGTGGACGCTGAATGCACCGGAGTCGAAGAAGATTCGAGTTCAATTCGTGGGGGGGTTTTTTTTTACTTGTGTCTGTAATCCTTCTTGCTTGCTCCCTGCCTGCCCGTTCCTCCCGATCTGAGGTCGCTCTAAGGAGTTTTTGTTTTTTTGGAAAAAAAAATTTTAAAAATGAGTTAGGGGATGCTGCGGAAATCTGCTTCGACAAGTCGCACTTGCTCTCTGGCATTGATCCAGAGAATTCCTCTTTACGTCAGCTTCGTTGTGAGAAGTGAAATCTAGACACGAGACGACTGCGAGGGCTCGGGTTACGTGGTATTGGGAGCTGGATTTGAAGTGGTTGTAGCTGAACAGAATTGGTGCTCCCTCGAGCAAGAGTTTGCTTTGTTTCAAACCAATCGAAAGATGGGCAACTACATGTGCGTTAGTGTCAGGCACCGGCAAGTGCAAGATGAGTGCCAATGGCCGCCGACAAAGGTGATTCGCGCAGACGGAACAATTGAGGTGTATAAGCACGCGGTGACGGCCGGGGAGCTTATGAAACAGTACCCTGACCACTCGGTGTGTCACTCCAGCGCCATGACTTCGGCTCTCACCGAAAGCTCAGCGTTGCCCGCCGAGAAGGAGCTCGAGGGTGGTCGTTTGTACTACGTTCTCCCCACGCAGAAGTTTCATCAGGCGAGCAAATCTGAAGGGAAAGTCGCATCTCCGGGTTCTCGCGGGAAGACCGCATCAGCTGAGATCAGATCAACACCAGGGTTCGCACAAGTGACAGTGAAAGGCGAAGCGGGTGCGAAGCTGTTTTACGACAAGCATGGCGGTGTTTTGAATTCCGTGGAGGACTCCGAGAAGGCGATCATCAGCTACTCGACACCTGATCTGAAGAGCTTGCATTTGAAATTCAGCCTCACGCGGTCGAATTCGTGGAAACCGTGTTTGGAGACCATCAACGAAGTGAGCGCCGATTCCCGGCGACATGTCCAGAACTTCATGCAAGCTTGCAGTCTGCAGATTTGCCGAGGAAACACTTTGTGAACAGATATTCAACACTTCCACTCCTTTTGACTCCCGGCGTGGCTTTTACTATGTACATTTCAACCATTGACGCAACGAAGGAGGCCGCGAGGGTTTTCGACGTCGATACCGCTATTGATCCCAAACTCTGACCCAACCTGTACGGTGTTTACTGATTCATACAACATGGTTTAGGGTTACATAACAAGATGTAAAATTAGGACTACTGCCCCTTCATGGGGATATACGCGCACGGCAGCGAGGCTAGGTCAGTGTTTGGGATCTGCAGCACATCGGAGAAAAAGCGTCTGTGATGTATGGTCATGTCAGCACTAGTTTCCGAGTGTAACAAGGTCGGTCACGAGTGTGGGTGTTGGCTCTGGTTGCGGCCGGAGCTACGAGATTCAAAAATTTACACAATTTTGTAGGTCAAATTATGTTCAATGAGGTATCCAAAATTAAGGATGTGGTTCTCTTGTGCAATTTCGTCTTGTTCCAAACATCATCGCATTCATCTGATCTCGCGAACTACACATTGTCACTGCTACGAATAAACTAGCAGTTGTTCCCAGTGGTGAAAACCACCACCACCACCACCACCATTGCCATACTATCAGCCGTGTTTTTCTGTTCCATGTTTCGTTCCAATATGGAATCAATTTCAAGAGGAGAATCTTCACAAGCCCGGATCTCACTTCTCGAGCTATCAAATACGGCTTAGTCTAGCGATCCGCCCAATACTATACAAGCTGGAATGCAAGCCTCTCCAGACTGGGAAACCTCAAACGGCAAAAAGTGCTTCGTCACCACATGATCATGAGGTTGAACTGGGCTCTCTCCTCCAAGTCTGAACACCAGTTGGCGAACTGGCACAGATCAGTACAATGAGTACCATCAGCCGTGGACCCACACCTCGGCACAAAGCATCGTCTCTGACCTGGGTCCCTGAAAAGCACGCCACCAGACTGGTGGGAGCGGGAGACTGGCCAGCTGAGGCCATTGCACAAGCTAGGCCTCATCCAAGAAGACAAAGACCCCCCACTGGCACATATGGCACATAACTGATTCGACACGCTCCGAGAGAGAGAGAGAGAGAGAGAGAGAGAATGTGTGTGTGTGTGTGTGTGTGTGTGTACTGGATGATGGTAGTGAAGGATCCAATCTCTCTGACCCCGCAGTTCCTGCAGGCCCTCGGCACTGATCCTGCACTGCAAATGCTATCCTCACGCTTTGTTTCGCATCAGAGTTGCAGCAGCTGCAACTTGTGCAGGCTCTTTGGAAACGCATTCATGCATTCATTCATTCATTCTTTCATTTATGCCTGAGAATCACTCCAGTTCATGTGTGGCGTTGAATCTTCTCGTGTGTGTGTGTGTGTATGTGTGAATCTGTGTGTGTGAGTCTCTGCGTGTGTGTTTCGATCAGTTTCTGCTGGTGGGTCTGCGATTCTGGTAGAATCACAGTAGCACTGAATTGTAGCACTCACAAGCTTGAATGAATGGATATAAACATATATATATATATAGACAAAAGCCACTGTGATAATAATGTACACAATTCAACTTATTTGATATAAATACTAGTTTTGATAATCTTGTATACCAAATTAAAAACACATTGGTGAAAAAATATTTAAACATGAGTGAATTTTTTTTTAAAAATTGAATTATAATTAAAATTTAAATGTTATTCTATATTTTCCAAATTTTAAATTCAAATATGAATATTGAACTAAAAGCTTGGAGCTCATTGCATATTGTAATGCAGTAGAAAGAATGCTTGTAAATTAACCTCAACTTTTACTTCAATTTTACTAAAAAAATGTCAATTTTTCTCATCGGACAACCTCTCATCTTTGACATTAAGGTATACATATTGGAAAAAGAAAATAGTTGGGATGCCATCACTTTTATACTTTGTATTAAACAAGCTTTTTATAAATTTAACTTATCTCATGGGAATTAACTCTGTTATCATTATTCTTTTATATGAAAAGCCAACCAATATCATAATGACATAAGAGTCTATATATATATATATATATATATATACAGTTATGTGTATATCATAAGAGAATAGGATAGAAAAATCTCATACATTGCACAAGTTCGAAAACAATAATCAATAAGTTGAAACAAGGTTAAATTATTTTTAAGATTTTAAGTTTTAAAACATAATAAAATATAATATAATATAAATCCCTCTCCAATTTTTATGTTTTTCTTTAGTAATCATACATTTATTTTTTAATGTAGATACTAGCAATAGATCAAAAATAAAGAAGTTTTATATTAAAAATATATAATAAATATTATTATGGTAAATAATAAATGAATGAATATACAAATAAAAAGACAAGAAGAAAGTACTATTCATATGAAGGTTTCATGTTTTTATTTTCAACTTATTTTAGCACATGTATTGTTTATTTGTAGTTTTTAGTTTATTTGTAAACATTTTGGTCACAATTACACCAACTATACATGTATTTATTGATAAGGCATATTATTTATAAAAGCTTTAAATAATATATTTGCATGAATTAAAAATATTTACACATGTGGATGAAATATATTATTATGGATAAAAATTATCCAAATAAGCGGCTGAGGTGCATCCATAAGTAACAAAAAGTAAGCACAATAGGAATTGCAAGTATGACACTTGGAACCTGTGAATGTGAGGGCACAAGAGCTTTTAAATGCATTTCATGTACACACAAATCATGGTATTTTAAGCATGTAATATGAAAACCAAGAACATTCCTTTTCATTTTATAACTTTCATATATTATCTAAAATTATATATTCATAAAAATATATACATTGTTTCGGTTATATATATATATATTTATTTATTTATTTATTTATTTATTTAAAATCACTGTTACAACTTTTCTTTTCTTTTCTTTTTCTTTTTACATTGTAAGTAGAAATAATTCAATTACATGGATACTTCTTAAGAAACTGTGCATGATTTATAAAAAAACGCTAACTTGGATGTTATAACTACATCAATTTTTGTGGTTAAAATTATTAATTTAAATTTGAATTCTAATGTATGTGAGAAGTACCATGAAAATATTCTCTCTTTCTATATATATATATATATATATAGCAAGAGAGAGAGAGAGAGAGAGATATAATCCTAAAACAAAAACAAAGTTGCTTATTCGAAATATTTTAGCATGTTTATTTGATTGTCTCAAAAATTAAAACTTTATTTTTGATAATTTGGTATCTGGGAGACGTATTCTTAAGGAGTACAAATCACGAATTAGGTGATTGAATTGTATTTCGCCCCAAGCATTCTATTGCATAGCTTCTTTCTTGTCTTCTTCTTTTTTCTTTATTTTTCTTTTCTTTTGTGAATTATGTTTGTTCACCCTTTATTACCACTTTTTAATTTAACAATGAGAGAAAGACAAAATACTAAATGAATATTTAGTAAAATTTCCATAAATTACATATTTGTTTTGAAGATATTTTCATTTAGAATGTATAGCAATATTGCTTGACTAGCTTTGCTTACTTCTTGCAGTTACAAATCATTAGTTGATACAACTTTTTTGCATGTGTACATATAATTTTTAAAGTCTTCATTATTTCAACGCAAATTTAGATAAGATATACTTTTCAAGAGTCAAATCTTTTTCCAACTTGAGGAACTTTTCTATCATGTAGGATGTGGTTCTTTTTCCCTTTCATCAATCAATAATTTTCTGATCATTTCATTCTCACTTTGAATCATTCCAATTATTTTTCCCATGTTTCATTGTTTCTCCTTTCTATCCAAAATCAAGAGAATACAAAAGCACAAAGGGATGATATTTTGCTCCATCCATTGACATACTATATTTTATTGTTAAAAGCCCATCACTACATTCATCCAAAATATCATTGCCTTACTTGCCATGAGTTACATTGGCTTTTTGAAACTATAAAAGAAGCTCTTTGTCTAAAACTTGAATTTTTTTATTTTTTTTATTTTTTTTATTTTTTTTTAGTACATTGTTTTTAATACTTTTCACTTTCTTTCTTTCGTTTTGCATGTATTGTTTTTCATGTGAACTTCTTCAGTTGAAAGTTGGAAGTGGTTGTATCAATTATACATTGACCAAAACTGGTCTATAGAAGTAGATTGTGACCTACTTTTATTTGATGTGTACCCAAATGTGTGTATGTGGAGGGCTTGAAGAATCATTCGGGAATATCAATCACTATTTTGAACATATGTATATATATACACAATTATAGTTCAAACAATGATGAAGTGTAGAGGATGGTTGAGTGTGGAGTTTACCATAGATATCTGAGTTTGAGAATTTGCACATGAGTGCATCAATTTTTAGTCACATACTGTAGTTGCCATATTTTTAAAATGTTGAATATTTTAATGAAATTGTTAATTGTTGAACATTGAAAAAACGAGAATGTTAAACAGATCCAAGTTTTCACTGAATCGATCCATCCATTCTAACCATCATGGAAGAAAAGAAAAGAAAATAAATAAATAAATAAATAACTAGATTCATTTTTCCACTATTGGATCTGCAATCAATGAAAACCAACCACATTCATCATGATTACCATATTCTTTATCAAAAGTGGGTTGATTTAATAAAAGCATGGATCTATTTAAAATTCTTTTAAACAAATTGTGTACAATTAATCTTCTACATTACTTATTAATTTTTATACACACATATATCTTTGATACATCATATCATGTATGCATGTATGTATGTGTGTATATATATGGATTTATTTATAATAGAACATTGTAAGTTTGTGATGGCAAAGCTAATCTATATAAGTAATAGATGATAACATAATACAATCTGATCTGTTATAATTATAATCTAATTGGATGTAAATAGTATCCTTCTATCTAGCTTCACCACAAGTACACCAAGCTAAATTTGTTATTGGTGGTATGAACACATAACACATGTTGTGTACATAATACTTTAATATGTAATAGTAATATGTAATATAACAAAACATAACATAGGATGAGCCTAATTAATTGGTCATTCTAGATAAGACAAAATATGGATGGAATTATATGGAGTGTCTGAGGTGCTTTCGAGGATGATCCAAGGAGACATCCTAGACCTCTAAAAAGTAAAACAAATTTTTAATTACTTATGAACTTATTCTACTATTAGTATACGCATAATATTAATAAATAGATGCAACTTCATTCTAGAAGTACAAGAAAACTTTACCTTAAATGGTCTTGTTTAGTTCTTAATTATAAACTAAATAATTAACTATGTTTTTGGTTAGTTATTGATATGAATAGATTCATAATTTTGGAGAGTCATAAAGGTGGAAAAATTCAATGCTAAGTCAAATATTGGAGTTTTTATTTAACCAAATATTATAGATTATCATTTATGAGCCAAATAAAATTTCACTTGAAAATAGATGGTTACAAACTATTAATTACATGTTTGAAATTTCAAACCAAATTGCCAATATTTAATGACAAGCATGCATTGTAAGTAAAATGCATAATGCTTTATGTAATATAGATATGTACATTGTATGAAAACCTTAAGCAAAGCATGACAAACCATTAAACACAATCTATTAACAAAATTGATAGTTAATCTACAATCAAATATATGTTCATGGTTGTTATTCAATGGGTTGTTATTCTTTTTCAATCTTCACATAGCATTCATGTACCATTATATTATTCATTATCAATAAGAAGTATATACCAATAACACAACTAGAAGAAAAAATTACACAAGTAAAATAAACTTGAACATTTAAAGGTGTAATGATGTAAAGGTGTAAAATAAAAGTAAACAATAAAATAAGTACTTTGTAATCAAAGACACATTGTACACAAGGAACACCACATTATTCTTTCAGATTAACGTGCAATGCCACTTCGTTTTTACAAGAAATATGACAATACTTACTTCATACGCATTTGTTGATCTACCAGCAATGACACTTGACAAACATCAAGAATGCGGTCTTGACCACAAATTAGTTTGAATACTTTTAGAATCTAGCAAAACAAAAGTACTCAAGATACGGGCCATGTGAACTGCAAATTCTTTATAGAGATTAACATTAAAACAGGAAACAAAAGAAACTTTACAAAATGCTAACTTTGACTGCTTCCGAAACAAAATTGCAGTCACTGGATTGTTTTCTGTTTCAATTGCAGTCACTGGATTGTTTCGGAAGCAGTCAAATGATGATATGGCAATCAAAAAATCTGATGAATTGATGACTTCAATTAGTGAGTTCGGGTTGATATGTGATGTATAAAATTGACATCAGGTTGATGGATCATCCTCAGTGATTTTTGTTGCTCTATGGATGTTTGAAACCAAGTTACTTATTTTAGTTTACACAATAGAATTCATCTGAAAGGCATTGTGTCACCATAAATTATGGCTTGAGACAATTTTAGATCAGGCACGTGGTCACTGTTGTAATGACAGGCCCAGTCATAGAGCAGTAATAGCATAGAACACCTGACTGCGTATTTTATCCTGGTGTGGAGAACATTGAACAAGTCTGAGAAAATCCCATTCTAGAAGACAAGGGGTTATGCAACACTTGTTTGTTGCACATCGACCACATTCTATTTGAAATACACGAGAGTTCAATTGGGTAACACAATAAAAGCCCACTGAATTCACTGATAAACGAGCACATGTCTAAATAGAGCTCCCATAATGCTCAATCCAGCAGTCACACAATACCGAGTAAAACATGATGCGACGAGTAATGACAAGCTTGAGCTAGAATCTATTAGAGAAAGTTCAACAATGAGAGGTGCAGAGAAAACAGTTCACTGTCTGGAATTAGGCTACCAGCCTCGGGCTGAACCAGTCAAAAGCTTTAAGTTCCGGATCAAAAGCTGAAATAAAGAGTCTACAGAGAAGACTAGTGTGGGAAGGGGATTACGTGTTGAGCACACTGTGCCTACCTGCTTAATTACTGCATGGTTAAGCCTGATTGAGAAGATCAGAAACGGGACCATGTCTACATCACTATCCTGGGCAGGCTGCTTCATTCCTAAACAAATAACGTGACGGAGACCATCAAAAAGACCTGCAAAAAAAGCTCAGAAGGCCTAGAATGCCCAACATCAATTTCCCTGAAGTAGTAGCTACAGTGTCACACACAGTGATTTTGAAAGCAAGAGGGCTACCCCAGTGCTGTGCACTTAAGTAACAGAACTTGTTGAGAGACCGGTCAAGTAGTTCTTTGACGTTGTCTCGAAGTTTTGGACGTCGCCATGCTCAGTATTCTTCATGATTCTTGCACAAGGACTCGAGTTACAGTAGCACCCGTAAATGGCGAGCTGGAGACCTGAAAGATATAATGTTGAAGGACTTCCTAAATAGATAAATGCTGCCATTTGTGAACTGTACAAATGTCACATGCATTGTCTGATTTTAAAGTAGAGACAGGGTCCCCCTAGGCAGGATGCTCACTCAAACAAGATGCTTTACGATATAAATGGACAACCTTTAAAGGGTTGCACAGACCAGTTTTCTTAAAAGTCCAGCAGGCAATTCTTCGTGCCGTCCGTCTCTGCTCTGATGATTCAAATGCCTGGATCTTGAGGGACAACAGAAGGTTAAAAGGGGGCTTCGTAACCAGGCTCATCCCAGACTTCAGCACTGCCGTTGGAGGCATCCTCGCCATCTTCTTCCATTGAAAGTCGGATGTACTCAATGTGTGCAAATCGATCCCACTCAGTTAATGACGGGTCCTCTCTCTCCTGCCCAAAGAGATCCACAGTTACATGACAGCTTGTAAATCATTAAGTGTCCACAGGTCCCTCCCAACATTTTGTAGTATCAGATAAACGAGATGGAAGACTACAAAATGGTGAGCTTAATTATTGGTTACATTGTTTCACTGCAATGCAAAGAAAATGTTGGAGAAGTGTAATTCCTGGTATCTACAATCCACCTATGACCAACCTAGGTGAACATCTGTTCTTCACGCTGTGATATCATTCTCAGAACTAACTGATTAAGATGTTGAAGTCTTAAATGTGAGAACATATTACCTGACGAATAAGGAAAGGATCACGAGTCTCAAAAGCTACGAATTTGTTGAGGTTAAAAAGGATATTGAAGAAGTTTCCAGATAATTTGCATCGCTTTAAGTCCCGAAGTGTCAACCGTCCTTCATTCTGCAGCCAGAGTAGAGGATAAGTTTCAGTGAAAACTTCACATTAACTAGCAGTGAAATGAATGCGAGACCCATTTAGTCGAATAGTGAAGCAACCAATGTAGAAGAGACTACTCAAACGCTTACAGCAGGTCCGATCATATCTGTCATTTGACAAACGATATCCTCAAAAAGAACAGGCTCCTGAGCCATGCACTCCATCCGATGAAGTTGCTCCTCGTAAAAATATTGCATCTCATTTAGTATAATCATCCCGTCACAATCCAGGTCTACACACTTGAACCTGCATCACGTGTCCAGGATGAAAGCATTAAACAAAATGTCCTCGATTTTATTGTAATATACGTGACGGAATCTAATGTATTGTCCGCGTTACAATTATCAGAAAGCAGACAGTTTGTATTCATGTAAATTCACAGTTAAGATATGGAGGTGCAGAAAATGTTTTAGAGACCATGTCAAGGCACTTACCAGTACTCTAAGCTGGGTTCGGAAGACTTGTCCTCTTCTGAAAGAATAAACCATACGAAGTCTTCATAACCCATCTTTCCAGCTACTTTGCTGGTGAACTTTCTTGGAACCTAAAATCCACCACAATGGGATAAAATCTATCCATACAAATAACAAATGATTTTTCTCTGAAATAAGATATCATGAGCAGCAACAATCCTGCTGTTTAATTTACCACATGAATCACCTTGGAACTTATGCAAAGCTTCCTAAACTAGATATAGTAACCCTTTCATATTTAATCACAGAGGAACAAGTCAAGCGCTAATAAGGTTGGCTTCGACAAAGATCAACATTAAAATGCACCTGGGAAAAGATACGCTCTACGATTCGGTAGGTGAGAGCATGATTTCCATATCGAAGGAGATCATCTTTGTCTATTAAAAAATCGTGATCTGAATCCAGCTCCCAGAACTTGCAATATATGACATAAAAATGTTCATATGAGAAGTAACTGCACGAAGCGCTTACAATATTTAGCCTAAGGGCACATGATCAGAAACTTAAGCTCACGTCGTGGTATCATAATTACTTTTCGTGAGGGCAAACTGATACTATCTAGTTAGACAGATCAACATATTTTACACTCAATTCAAATTATACCAGTATTACACAGGTTGACATATAAGAGGGATGTGAACTTGTCCAAACAGACTCACCTACATTCAAAACTTTTATATTTCATTAATTGATTGTAAATCATAGGTCTCATCAGGCCTGAAGATGAAACATAGAACAATTGCCAATCACAAGCAATGCTTACCGTAACACTTTGTTGATGTCTTCCTCTTCATCCACTTGCTGAAGAGCAGCAATTAAATTACTCCGCTTTAACTCTCTAAGTTGTAGCCGACCATTCCCAGCTCTATTTACATGGTAGAATATTCTGTATATTACAGTTTCAGCTGTCCACCACCATAGAACATCATGCAAGTGCAGAGAATCAGGATGTGGTGTACAGGATAAATTTAATAATACCAGCATGGAGCAAATATTTTTGTCATCTATTCGAAATGAGTCTGAATGTCACATGCAAAGTCGGTTAAGAATTCATGCCATATCTGTCTTGAAACTCCGGGGTGTCATGGAGAAATTCCAAACCGCGATGCGTCAACAACAATTCTCGTAAAACGGGCCTAAAATCTTCCTGTTCACAAGATGGACAGAAAACTAGAAGTTAATTTTGCAAATTCATCGTGGCTTTCGGCGACACTAACCTTCACTGACGGAACAGTGACTCTAATTACTTGCATCAGACAGGATGCACATGAAAAGTTACCTAAGAGCCAATGACATGACTACAAATTATAAATAGAGACCAAGTCAAAATAGTTTTTCGAAAATATTCCAGAAACTAACCTGTCTCAGAAAATTCTTGTCGGGTTGCTTCAACACAGTGAAGACGCGAGTTGCAGTGTCCATGGCCAGCATGTTTTGGTCCACCCAGTATTCTACGAACTTGTCCCTGTAATAGCTCAAAATTCATATACCCTTTCAGTGAACTCGGGGATGCAATCTACGAAGGTGAAGCAACAAAAACCAACAGCAAAAGACCACGCCTTATATATAGGAAATGCTAATCACGATATCTATAGGTCAAAATGTGATGAGACAATTCCTGACCTTGTAACCAAGCCTGTATTATTGATGTCAATCTTTTTGAATAAAGCCATGGAGAAGAAGGACGGTAGTTTGCATACATCCTTAGTAATGGTTGCAAATGCTGCACATAGTCAACATCAGAAAGATGTTCGAGAACAGCATTACTAAAATAAATGCATAATTGATACATTCTCACCAATGCTCTGAACTGGTTGACAGAAAACCGAATTAAAAGTTCTCCTAACGTAGACTGACCTGATGCAGGTAAACCTTCTGGATGAGCTCCGAATATTTGGTTTACGCGAGCCATGCACGACTCAATGGTATCCTTCGATGGCGGGGGCCCATTCGGAAAATAGAACTAGACAATACCAAACACCAAAAACGAAATTGATCCAATGTACAATACCAGTACGTAAATCCTCTGCGGCTGTTGATCAATCTCACAATCTACTCCTATATGACACAATGCTAAGGAGAATGTCACTCCTTGGAACCAGTATAGCTAACGTCCGAGCTTCAGGAATTCAAGAAGTTAAGCTACTGTCACAAACGGAATCACTAATATAAACCCTCAGGAGAGCTAATGATGCTAATACCAATGATAACATCAGCCACGTAGGTCAGTTATTCATGTACTCCTGGTACACACACTAACTATAAGATTCAGTGCTCAAAATGGTACACGACGTGACGACTTGCAGGAGATTCAGAACCCAGCACAAACAGGAAGGGATCTAAAAATATTTGCGTGAAACAACAGAAAACCCATGACCTTGCATCTGTTTCGCTTGAACTGCATGAGTTTGGAATCAAAAGTAAAGGACTGTCACAAAGCTTAAAGAATCATGATCTAGGAATACTAAATTCCAAAACATGAGATTCGGCCATAATCTTAGTAATCACTACCACTGCCGTGGTGATGCGCATTTAACTGGGAAATGCATACTCGAATCATTCTCAAGGAAATATGTTTGAAAATTACCTGGGGTATGATCTCTCGCACAGGTTCGCTACTTTTCTTCAACGGAGAGTCCCGCATGAGGTGGCTAGTTCCCATACGTCTGCTGAAAGGCGACCTGGGAGACATTGGTGAACCAGAGCTCCGAGGAGACAACGGGGGAGTGCTTCCTGCGGCTCCAGATAGATGACCTGGCAAAAGTGATAGGCCAACATTTGGGTGTCCAGCTCCTCCTTTTGCTTCTTCCAACAAATTCGTAACCTGCACAAAAGATAAACGAGCTCATCAGTGAACTACGGGCTTATCCAAAACAAAACGAAAACGAAAAAGAGTGTGACAAGAAAATCGTTCCGTAAGAAGCTTGCAGTCAGGAGATAGGTATCCCACGTAATGACGACTCGGGAATTATCGAAACAATTAAACTTCCACCGCTCAATTGTTACACAACGTCTTGGGCTGTTCTGAAACAAGTCAAAATCTCGAGTACGAAGAACCTACGATATATGAGGGATTCAAGAGTCATGAGGAGTTAGAACAAGCAGATAATAGAACTAACTGCGAGTATATTCCAACTTGGGCCTCATAAAATGCCAGTCTACTTGTCACTTTTCAAGACAGAAAAAAATCCTAAGTTAAATGAACAGATATGAGGAAAATCACTCATATATATATATATATATATATATATATATGCCCTAGCAGAGGAATAGTAAAGAAGAGAAGCGCAGTAGGTGTGCTCCTATTTTGATGATAACGCTCAAAAGGTAATTGTGAGTCGTAGGGTAAGACTCTGAGGAGTACGAAGAGTCAAAGTAAGATCCACAATGCAAACTATACCAACTGGGGTTCAAGAGAGCCAAATAATCCTAAGAGAAAGAGATCAAGGTCACATGTCATTGTGTCAGAGAACTAGACCGGTCGAAAGGAAGAAAAAAATGGATTAGATGTCTACTAATCTAGCCCTCTTCAGAGAAGGAGTCTAAGAGTAGATCTCAGGTCAAGATGATAACAAACGAAAAGCTATCACCCTACTGAATAGTACCATCCTCGTACTTCTGGCTTGACAACGCCACACTCTACAAGACACAACAGGACCGAGCGTATGAGGTCGAGAAAGATGAGAAGACAGGGATTGCGATTAATTCAAAATCGACCTTACTAACTTTCGGAAAAGATAGAAACAAAAAAAAAAAAAAAAAAAAAAAAAAAACCATCCCAACGATTCCCATGATGCAACCCATAAAATGTATTTAATAACCTCTCTAGTTTTCATCAACATCTCTCGTGAAACCACGCTAACTTCATATATCACCGAGGCCCAGCCAGACCAATGTAATACGGTTAACTCTACGTCTCCCATCTCCATACAAAACCGGTAAAACATACCCTTCACCGAGCTACAACAACAACTCCCCTGGAGCTCACTATCCCTCACCAAAATTCCTTAAAAACATTGTTCGCCGCATACACAACCCACATCACACCCAGCACTAAAACCCAGAATGAACCCGAACCCACAACCCAAAATCAGGCTAATCTCACAGCTCTAACGAACCCAACACCAAGATCCCTCTTCTCCAAGCCCGCCACCGCCATCGCCACCCAATCACTCACCAGACGCTGCGTGTCGGGCAGCGAAATCCATTGCGCGTAAAGCTCCTCCAAGTGCAACCTACAAACACCTCCAAGCTTGTTGCTAACTCCCACAGAAGCAGGCGATGACGATGAAGGAGAAGCAAAGGGGGTGAAATCCGCAGGGAGTTGAAGCAGATCGGGGTCCAGATCTGCCACGGCCAACGTCAAGGGCTCCATTGGGCGCACTCCAAACCTCCCTGAAGCATGATCTGGGTACCCCCCACAATGCATGCAAGCAAGCAAACACACACACACACACACACCGTCTTCCCGATGTAAGTAAGTAAACTATAAGGGAAAGGAGAATCAATCAATCTCACATCCTCCTTCTCCTCCTTTCCCCTTTCCCTTCACCTTTCTCTTCTCTTCTCCCGCACCACGATGCCCTTCTTCCTTCATTCCTCTTGCGAGGCACCGCGCTGCGGTTGCACCCGACCACCGTGGGTGCTCCTGTTGCCGTGGTTCCACGTCGGATGGCACGTCGGATTGAGGTATGGGCTTGTTCTCTCTCTTCTCTCTCTCTCTCTCTGGTTTTGAGTTTGTTTGTCATGGTGTGTGTGTTATGTTGCTTTCTTACATTGAATTTGTGTGTACGTTGTTTGACGTTGTGAGAGAACAGTGATTTGTGATTCTTCTTTTGACTGTTGGTCTTGGTGAGATTTTCGCATCATTGGTACTGTCTTCTAAAAAGTGTTTAAAGTTACTGAAAAGTGCAAAATTAAAAGAATGTACTTTGTAACAATGTGTGTGTGTGTAGATGCATATATGTGCGTGTATATATACAATAAATGAGATTTTTTGGAACTTGTAGTGATGAAAGTTTAATAAAGTAGAATTTTACAATAAATATTGGATTCTTTTCTAAAGAAAAAGTCTAATGTTTTTTAATTCATTAAAGAATTTTGATGTTTTCTTTTTGTTGAACTATGAAAAAAAATTGTGCTTATTAAATAAATAAATAAAATGAAAAGAAAAAAAAAGAATAAGAAGGAAAAAAATTATAAATGTCTAGTACTTACAAATTTTAAGCAATAAAAATTATATATTTAGTATAAGTTATTATTTTAATTATATAATTTTTAATAAATTTCAATGTCATTTTGTGACTAGAAGTAACACTAATGCCTTGTGTAGCTACAAAATCTTCTCTAAGAACTTATTGAGTTCTATGAATTTGTTATAAAAGTATTTAATAATTTTGATGTTTGGCTTATGAGCCTTGCAATCTTTAAGAGACTTCAACATAGCTTTTTTGCTAATTAGTATACACAGAGAAAATAATAAAGCTATTATTAGTCTTATCAATCCATTTCTTATGCTTTAGTATTGGTCGAAGATTTTCTAATCTTTTGTTTTTGACAATAGTTGTTTTCATATATTAACATCTTATAAATACATTCCTTCTTTGTTCTATTTTCCATTTCTTAGTTTATGTGTGAATATGGTAATATTGAGCAAGTATCCTTGGATTTACTATATTAATATTATATTTAAAACATTCTGTACATATTTACATATTCGAAGATATAATATTAGTTTGTAAACACAAAGAGGTAATTACCTCTCTCTCTCTCTCTCTCTCTCTCTCTCTATATATATATATATATATATAATTTATTCTAAATTTTATTTTAAAAAAATCAATAAGACATAAATTATAAGACCTTAAAAAAAGTCATTATTTTAAATAATGGTATTCATGTTTTAGAATAACAGGAATAAACTACATATTACATAGTTCTAAATACCTCATTTTTATTTGCTTGAATTAGAATACTATTAAATATAATTTGAAAAAAAAATCATAGAAAATTTAATACTTTGAATTAAGTATAAAGCTTTTAAAAATTTATAATATTTTTTTAATATAGGCTACCTATCAATATTGATTGCTATTCTAAAAATCCTTATTAAAAAAGGTAATTTAAAGAAGATTAATTTTATTAAAAATTAAAAACAAGTGATTATCTAAAATAAAATAAGATTATTTTATGCCACATTAAAATAATTGTAGAATATTTATTGATAACTTCTTGATTATTATTACTTTTAAAATTCATTAAGTAATTAATGTATACATAAAATGAATATCAATGAATATAGATAATAAAATATTTTTAAAACTTTAAAAATAATAAATATGAAATTTTGACACCACTATTTAATTTGATTGATTTGATTTTTTTTTCTTCTAATTCGATACAACCTTTGAGGTGCATAAGGATGTAGGTAATTTTTTGAGAAGAAAAACATAAATACCAAATAATATAAAATTTTATACAAATAAACAATAATTTAAAAAAAAACAAAACAAAACAAAAGAAGTACTTATCTTCAAGAAGAAACAACTTGTAATAATGTATAGGTTAAAGATGTACGAACATCATTTAAGCATGCATATTATATTAATAATTAGATTAAAATATTTTTAGAAATATTTAGTTTGAAAAAATCACATCAAACTTTAAATATAATATTCAATTTAATTATACATCTATATATTTATAAAATCTAAAGAGAGCATATTTTAAAATATTATTTGAAATTTGATGAAATTCTTCAAAAATACTTAAGTGTTAAGCTAACAATTTACTTATTTGTTTATTAATTTATTTTTTACAATCAAAGTTAAGTTTATATGTATTAAGACAAGTAGATATTATTAGTGCTATTATTTTCATTATATATATATATATATATATATATATATATAACTTTGATAGAATAAAAAATACATCTTGATATTATTTTAAATATATAAAATTCATTTCCACATTAAAAAAATATAACTATTGCAAATATTTAATAAATTATTTTAAATATAATAAAATTTCTATTGCGAATTAATTTAAATTGATCATACTGCTCAAAGATTTTTTTTTTTTTTTTTTTTTTTTTTTGTGGCCTTGTAGTTTTACAGCTTTTATGCAGTTTCTAATTCAAAGCATTTGCTTAGGCTGTGGAACTGCTCACTGATTTTTCGCATTTTGTTCTTATTTTTATGTCTGGGTATTTTAATATCTGTTGAATGCCGTTTGGGTACCTGATGTTCCATAGATTTGGGTAATAGTTAAGCAAGAAGAGATAAGTTTGAGAATTTTTTCGTTTGTACTGAAGAGCTCGCGTGTTGTGTAGCATTCAAGTGCAATCATTTCATTCAATCAGAAGCTGGCTTTAGATGCAGTGTCCTTCTATGAGAAAGCGAACTCTCTGCAATCCCCAGATGCTGGCAGATGTTAAACTATCTGTTGGAATTTAGCCAGTAACATGGCGCTGACTCACTTTTAAAAGGAAAGCATCATCGATTTTTGGATCCCTGTTGATCCAAAAGACTAAGTGTTGTTAGTGTTTCTATTTACTGCAGATGGGCCCAGCCTTGGCGCTGCTTCCGACGATGGTGGAGCCCTCATTTTCTATCTTCTTAGTGTTTCGTAATACTGAGCCAGTCTGGCCTTATTACAGCCTTATGGCCTGAAACAAATCCGTGGAATGCGGCAATTTATGCATCGTTTCGATGAAGAATATACTAATTTTGCTGACGCTCTGAAGATTTTTGAAACTGATGCTGTGGTGTGTTTTCATTTGCAGCTGGAGCAATTAGAGCATTTTAGGATTGGTGAAGTCTCACATCAGCACCTGGTGGCGACAACCTGCAGTCATTCCGGCAATCCGTCCGTCTTGATCCATGCTCCGATCACCCAGACTTCTATTTAAAAATCCCTTTCCTGCGATTGTTCACATGTTTCTTACATTTCTATGCTGTCATTCAAAAAATTGGCAAACAATGTTATAGTCATCGTCTTGTCTATTCACATGTGTTAGCAGGATTTTAATCTGCGACATCTACTGTGACAGACTTTGCAAGCGACTCGACTGATGTTTCTCACTTGTAGCTAGATTTCTTACTCCAACAGATATCACAAGAAGTTGCAGATTTCACTTCGGTTCATGAACAAAGCCGCGCAACTGCATCCAATTCATGTGATGTACCCAACAAGCTCCTAGCACATAATAAAATTATCTTCATTCTCTGTCCTTTCTTTCAACTTCGATGCATCGTTTCCACAGAGCTAGTAATCAGACATCTGATGATTTTGCTTATTGGTTCTGCACGAGAAACGTTCACTCAAGAGAGTTGCTTCTCCAACTTCACTTGTACAGATTTTCAGACTTTGGACTAAATTTCACTATTTCATGCGGTCATAGGAGGACGTCGATTGCTTCAAAATGTGTGAGTGGAAGAGTCAAGAGACCTCTTTCCCAAGAGCTGTAGCACACCAACCTCTTTCTCATGACTATTACATTACTTGACGCTGACAAAAAGTGGTTGGTTGCAACCAAAAAATACAGTTAATTCAGAGCATTTTTTAATGGAATAATCATGCCATGATTCTTTCAGTTTGGAAGCAGACAAATTGTACAACGACAACACTTCATCGACATCATCTGAGAGAGTGTTTGAACTTAGTTTCAATAATTGAATAAATTCTTCTGAACACTGGCTGCGAGGAATTAGGCTTTGACCATTCATTACTTTTCGTGGTTGTTTCTAAAAGCCACTGGCCTTCGTGAGAGGACTGTAGTATCAGAAAGAAAGCAAAGATTATATTAAAGCACATCAAACACGTTATCTTCACCGCAATGACAACAGCTACAAGAAGTGAAACTAATTTGGTTTGCTTTTGGAAAAATAAAATAGACTTGTCTCCATGAGTTTATGGCAGTGAAAAGATCCTCTGTCTCTAACCACTGCACCTGATTCAGCTGATACCGCTTCCATAAAATGCTCGCCTCCCCATGCCCTCAGTAAAACATTCTCCCTGTTACATCACATAGGTGAGGAAAGAAGTCTCCGAAAAATCCCACTTTGCAATCGAATTCTCCGTAAAGAATCAACCCACAAGAGTTAATGAATAAATATATCGAATAAAACCCAATCTACGCTGCTCAACAGTGCCAAGCAATCAACATATCTGTATAAACTTCATGTGAAAACCGTACTTAAATGTACAGGAATGTGAAAGGTTTTCACTGTTTATCAAGACACAAAATGAGTAGTGATTCAATTTTCTACGCCAGTTTCTGAATCCCGTGCAGGGCCGACTCAGCAATCTGGAAATGTGAGCTTCTACGTATTCATTCATGGAAGGGATGTGTGCAATTAGCGGCCACGGCCATTGACACCATATCAGGTATACATGAGCTTTTTTAAAAAATGAGCAGAAACATCGTAAGAAACAAAAAGTCATAAAAGTGAGAAACCTGACTTTGGAGCAGACATGTGTCTTCGGAAATCCTTGATGAATGGTCCTGTGTAAACTAAGCTTGCGTGAGTTTACTGAACACCTGCATGTGCCCTGACTGCCATAGATCTGAAGCGAGTCTCTACATAAACATTATAAAGTTTTAAGATCTCAGGAATAGGTCAGCATGCATGATATGTGCAAATCATACTTGACCTAAATAATTACAACACAGTAGAGAACAATTTAGAATTAGGTTAGTGCAAAGAAACGCTCTACCGAGTGCGTGTGGTTTTATTCTTACTGTTTTCTCGACTTGCATGCTCGACCCGGAATGATCGAAGGACTCCGACTTGGAGGCAACAAAAAGAAGACTCGTTTGTTCCACATTCAAGTTGCTCCGGGTTGACCTCGAAAATGCTCCTGATTGCACATCTATCCTTAACTGTGTTCTTCTTCACCACTCGAGCACTAGAATACCAGCTTCTCATAATCTCGAGAATGCACAGGCAACTGAGGTTTCCAAACACAACTTCGAGAATCAATATATCACAGCTGCGAGTCTCGCACTGATTTTAATTTTATTTTTATTTTTATTGTTATTTTTTTCTTTTGTCTTTCCGGTGCAGGGCATCTCTGGTGTTGCAGGTAAAGAAGCGTACCGCGCAATCCTCGTGGAATTCTCAACTTTCATGTAACCCAACTAGCGGACAAAACCAAAACTCCAAGACGCGCTTCGTAGTCTTGATCTCGCGTCACTTAACTGAATTACAAAACGCAGTAGAAAATGAACTGCACTTCATGTTCGTGCTGGTGCGCAAGCGCGGCACCCAACCCCAAGAGAGTGAGATGCCGCAGCTTCCAGGTGAAGACTACGCAATTGCGAGGATTTGTGCCGGTCAGGTGGAGCTGCCCATTCAGTGCTCCATTGAGCATGTAGTTGTAATTAATTTACAAGAAACCATCCTCATGGCGCCACCCTCCAAGAGTTTCACCACATTCCGGTAAATCACCTGGGCGAGAGATAATGCTCGAGGAAGTATTCAGTTTCTTTGCTGTAAGGCGCGCATGCGATGCGTTGAAAGACAACTACACAACCAGAAGAGGATTCTAGACAACCCTTGTAAGCACGGAGAGATTTTGGGGGGCTTGCAGAATTCTCGTTGCGAAAAATCACTCGCTAGCCACCGAAAACATCCACCCTCAACAATCCACCTTCTAAAAGCCTTTAATCTCCAATTCTTCGCAATCTCCGACTAGAACCACGCCATTAATCCACCATAGCTTTGAAAGTGAGTGCTCATGCTCGACGTTCGCCAAAGACACCAAAAAAATGGAACTAAATCCCCAACTGCATTGCAATGACCTTGGATGAGCACAACCACGCTCTAAAGGTGGCAACAAGGTCTAAGAGAGACCCTGATAAGTTGCGTCAAAACACAATCTTTCCTCATAAAAACTGCAGCAAATCCAGTGTTCATCGCCTTCACTACGTCACCTTCAACACCCACACTCCCCCCTACATGAACGAGGCTTCTTCACCCATCTCAGTTTGTACGAGCTCCAACCCACACTCCACATTTCTCGAATGCAACAACCCTTTTGCCAAAAAAGTGCATGTCACTCAGTAAACTCGTGGTTGTGCAAATGATTTCAAGCTCATGGAGATTCTAATGCAAGCCATTCCACGAGGAGTTTTGGTAATTGAATCATCTTTCATGGAGTTCGGTACAGAGCTTGCAAAAGTGGAAACATGAGACTTCAACCATGTCGTTCCCGGAGCACTATCTTTGCCCAATGCTGGATCTAGATTGGTTGCTAAGAGGAAATCGTCTGTATTTTGGCGTTTGTTTGTGTGTTAAGTGTGTGCTTATCCAGAGCTAGGTCTGAAACTGATTTGAGATTTTGATTGCTGAATTTAAAACAATGGTTTGCAAAACCAATCTCTATACCCTGATTTTTCGGTTGAAGATTACATCGAAGAATGTGTGATAGGAAATACCTTTGGACTCTGTACAGATATGAGGCTTCAAAACTGGTCTTTTATGGCGTCCAAAATGGTGAGATGTTTGGTTGAAAGTAAGAAACAAACTGTTCAAATCTAAAACAGGTTGGACTCAAAAATCTAAAAACAGATTGGACTAAATTTCAACTGATGGATGTTTTCAAGCTTGGAAAAGGAAGGGCTATGTCAAATACTTTGTGAAATGCAATACCTGTTGGGTTTTCAATACAATGAGGGGAAATGAGGGAACAAGAGATTTAGTATTTGGAATACCCAAATAAGTTCTACAATGGAAGGATCATTCGACTTAAAAATCATGACCAGTGTGATGATTTTTAAGTCAATCTCAAATGATTTCACTCACTTCATCCAAACCAAAAGAAAATTTCAAAAAACCAACTTTAATAATTTTTGATTTGCACACAACATATAAATATATACATATATGTTGCAAGTTCAACATATATATGCATATATATATATATATATATATATATAAGTATCTTAAACCAACAAATTAATAACATAGCATGATTTTGTTTTTGATACAATTTTGTCTAACACATTTACCTTGCAAAACATGTAATTGGTTATGTAAAACAATCAACAAACAAACATCAAAATTAGTAGATGGGAATTCTGTAATATGATTTCTTGTGAAAAAAACAAATCCAAACAGCAGTTGTTAAAAACATTTAGGAATCAATTGTTCAGACATATTTGATAACGTTTATGGAACATCAAAGACATTAGTATTTTGTGACATCAAGGTGAGACAACTCATCACCAAAAACCCTAACCATAAGGAATATAAAAGTTCTTTGTAATTTAATAGAGATGTGCAAATAAATAACATATTAGAAATTATATATATAATCAAATAAGTGTTAAAAACATGTCCATTTATATAATCTGCATTGCAATGGAGTAAATTTTAAAGAAGAAGGAAAAGAAAAGAAAACAAAGACGCATGAATGCTTAAAACAAGAAACAAGTAGACTTTTCAGAGAATAAATTGTGCTTTAAAACCTCCTCAGTTCTGCAATCAGAGGGAAGAAGAAAAAAAATATCAAAATATAAACAAAGTCAATTCCCCACAAAATGTTTCAAGAGAAATGGTTACCTTTTCTCATTTCTCCAACTAATCACAAAAAAGTTGTTGGAAACATGCATGCGAGTAGTTGGAACATCACAGCAAATGATTTCCATGTAGGTATAAGTGAGTTGGACACCCATACTCACTGGATTGAGGTTGTCATGTTGTGGTCCAAGCCATAATGAGCCTGCAGAACATCAGTGAGTTATGGATGCCCCTTTGTGTTGTTGAGCAATTAGCACACCACTAAGTGCCCTTGGAAATGACCCAAGGATAACAATGTGGATAGCATGGGTGAGGCCCATCTTTTTCTTGTCTTGATGAACATCATTCATGGGAGGAAGCAAGCAAGCAAGTGCAAAAACTGACAACCACCATCAATCTGACTGCAAATCCAGGTCTTGCTCATAAATTTGTAGCAAAAGCAAATTCTAGTTCCAGCACAAGAGTTGCTGGCGTGATTCCCGAGGAACTGACACGGAGGGCGACTCATGGGCAGTGTGGCCACCGCTCACAGAGGGTCAAAAGCTGTTTTTGTGCGATCCGTTGTGACGAGGTGACGGATGTTGTGCAGTCCTCGGCAGCTTGCGCGTGGCTACGCGCACAAACGAAAAAGCGGACGAAGAAAGGCCCTTCAATCTTGAAGCAAGCGCCCGTCCTTGCGGTCACAACCGCGTACTCCAAGTATTGTACCTATGCTTTGCGTGAGCGGTTCAATGCTTTACGCCATCGCCGCGTTCTATCGCTCCTGATTTCTCGTTCCCGCGCTTGCTGCAACTCCGCGCGTGCTGTGAACACCGAACGGGTGGATGGCGACTGCGGTCCATCGCAAGTGGCTTCGGATCCCTGCGAAGAATCTCTGGAGCGGAGTTTTGCGTGATGGGCTTTGTTAGATAGCCATTCGTGCGCAGATCTTGACGGACTGATCGGGAGGTGTCCGAATTTGAGCCTGAACCGCGATAGGGTGCGTGGTTTGAGACGCTGAAAACCCAAAGGTGCGAATTGGGCGCAATCTGGTAGGTTTGTTGCGTCGATCGGGGAAGTTTGACGAGAATTTTTATTTTGCGGTGCGTCACCGATCTTTCTGTTCCCTCTTCGAGATTCGAATGTGAAGATGAGGGGCCCCAATTTCATGCCGATCGGAGTCTCCCAATTGCTGTGGATTTGATCGACGATGCGAAAATCCCATATTTTCGAACCCTTTCGAAGGATTCCAATCCCCCGAGATCTTGTGTCTTCGAGATGCTTAGCACTATCCCTGAAATTGGGAGTTTTGCCCACAATATGGAACCTAAGAGCACTTGTTTTGACAAAAATTCCCATGTTATGGGGCGAGGAGTTGACCGTTAATCGCTCCCCACAAATCTTCACCAAATCAAGCAAGTGATCTATCGATTGAGCAGAAGTTTTTTGAAAGCCAAGGTTGGTAATCAAACGTGGGACCACTTTCTTGTGCTACAAAGAAGTTTCATCTACAATTAAATGCAAAGTTTGGATGTGCATAGAATTGCACTGAATTCTATTAGTAAATACATACATACATACATACATACAGAATAAATCAATATATTCTTGTAGGTGAGATCAAGAGTCGATTTACACAACCAATTAAGGACCTCATTCCACACACGGTTTTATTTTCGTTCAATACTCTTACCACACAACACAAAAACCCACATAAAATAACGATCAATTTTGTGGCATCAAAAGTGAACTGTTAACCAGCATATATCGCACATATGTTGGACAGTTTTGTCAGGTACAGAACTTCAAATTCCTTACAAAGACAAACCATATATACACATACACATATTTGAAAATGGCTCTACTGGGTCAACAAGGCAAAGTCAACCCGTAGAACTACTACTGCTACGAAGCAAAAGAACAAACATTCCAATTGAATCTCATCACAATTCCACCATTCAAAGGGCGAGTAAAAACTCCACAAAAGTAGGCCACAAAGCTTCCAGCAGGGAGTCAGAAATGTTGAAGGATTTCGGAGAAAGCTCAGTGTCAAAAAGTCCACCCAAACTTTTCAACTTCGGCTCCTCCTCGTAACTGGTCATAAAGACTCAGCGTCGAAACAGCAAAAAACACACACAGACCCTTGACCGACGAAGAAATTCATCCATCATTCATCCATCTCGAAACCATTTGCTAAATCACCTTCTTCTTCTTCTGCCTCACCATATAAGTCTGACCTCGTTGTTTGTCATCTTACATACACCATCCCGTCGCCATAGCCATCCGAACCCTGCCTTGGGTCCTCCCTCTGCACGCTCGATTTCTCGCCGCGGACGTTGCTCGACACTCACTGGAAGCTTGGATCCTGCTGGTTTGCGCCACGCGGGGATCTTTAAGATCTTTTTTGAGGAGGTATAGTCGAGGCTCTCACTTTATTTTGCATATCGCCATAGCCAGATTTGGTACATGTGTTTGTGTGTGCCGTGCGTGGTTTGGTTTAGTTGTGGTTGGATCTCAGTTGTAACGCTGATCGCGAGGTTTTTTTTTGTTTTTTTTTATTGAGGCGGATTCGTCTTCTGCATTTCCGGAGGGATTCGTCGATGTGAACACGGTGTTTATGCATTGCTCAAGCTGCGCTGTTCTTAGATCTGTTCGCGGTGTTGCTTTGCGTGGCCGTTTGGTAGTGGTAGACTTGGATTTCTCTACCTAGTGTTTTGTTATAGCGATCACATTGTTACGCACTCCGCATTTGCCAATGTAGTTGGGCGTTGGACGGGGGGTGCGGGACTTTTATTTGTTGCTTTTAGTCTTGAAGTTAGATCGCGAAAGTTTTACAGATATGTACAGCGCAATAGCCACTTTTCGGCATATCGGAGCAACTATTGCCTTAGTAGATGCAAATGAGTAACTCAACTCAAGCGGTGATATCCTACGAATTTTTATCGAAACTTCACTAAATTATCTTCACACGGTCGGTCATTTGTACTGTCTTATTTCATCATTAAAGTCGATTTGATCGGCGAATCTTTAAAAGTTTCAAACGAAGGTTGCGTTCCTGGGAGTAGCATAAGCTATGGATTTGAAGCTTTGATGATGTGATTCAAGGGACTGCCCGTGGATGTACAGGCCTGAAAATGTATAGTACTTGTTTTATTTACAGGCATGGCTCGCAAGAAAATCCGAGAGTATGACTCCAAGCGCATCCTGAAAGAGCACTTGAAGAAGCTTGCTGGCATTGACATTGCCATAAAATCCGCCCAGGTGCTATTCTTGGTAGTCAAATTGACGGAGTGAGTGATGTATATCAGTCGTTGTTGACTCTCTGCTATTACATATCAAAACTTAAATACGTTTGACTTTCAGGGTGCACCCAGTGTAATCTATGTGCTACCTTGGTCCTTGCAGGTGACCGAGAGCACAGACTTTACCAAACTAGCTGAACAGGAACCATGGCTGAACTCCACGCGCCTCGTCGTGAAGCCAGATATGTTGTTCGGCAAGCGAGGAAAGAGTGGCTTGGTAGGTTCCGTTCACTCTCTGTCGGAAAATTCAGAGGTTTTTGTGAAATTGGTTGGATGACATTTACATGCGTTTGTAGCACGAGTGTTCATGTGACACATGAAGACTGAAAAAGATACTGGAATCTTATGATAATAATTGCGTTGAACGGTGGCTAAAATCTGCAGGTGGCTCTCAACTTAGATTTAGCAGGTGTGGTAGCTTTCGTGAAGGAGCGTTTGGGTAAAGAGGTGAGTGTTTTGTAACTAGTAGAATGTGCTGTTATGATACTTCATTCCTTTCACTTATAATCCCAAACCATGGTGGATGAATTTATTAGGTCTCATTTCATACATTTATGTTCGCAGGTCGAGATGAGTGGTACCAAAGGTCCGATTACCACTTTTATTGTGGAACCTTTTGTTCCCCACAAGGATGAGTACTACCTTTCAATTGTATCTGATCGTCTCGGGGTGAACGTAAGCTTCTCCGAGTGCGGTGGTATTGACATCGAAGAGAATTGGGACAAGGTAAAATCTAACTCCGTTTAGGATTGTATTGTCTCTTTTTCATTCACAATGGTTGTTCATAAATAACGCAACGGAATACGTGGCTGAATACGATTTCGTAACAGCTTAGATTCAGGCTCTGGTGCTTAGAAGACGAGGCTATAAATGCATGGAGAAGAGGGTGATAGAGGCCCTGATACTTTATCGTATTGTGCTGACTGGCTTGGAATCAACAGGTGAAGGCCATTTTTGTTCCTACTGAGCAGAGTACTCTCACAAGTGAGATATGTGCTCCTTTGGTTGCTACTCTTCCACTTGAGGTAATAGTTCGCTTCTTTGAAGGCTATGGTGAGGGCATTTAATACACACCTAGATATATAATCTGTTGCATGTCCTCTGTGCTATTGTTGATTCCCTTGCACGTTTTCATGGAGCTATCATATTGTACCTGTTTGTTTCTTTTGGTCTGTTTCTCTTCAATCTTCGTCGAGTTCAATATGCGTTTTGGATCCTCAAATACAATTAGTGTTCTCAGGTCCGACCCAAGATAGAGGAGTTCCTCAAGGGTGTCTTCATTGTCTTCAGTGGTAAACTTTATATTTCTATCAGTATTGTATTTTACAGCTCAATATTGATTGTATTCAACCTTTCATGTTTGGGTCGATGCACATATTATCTTGTAGAAAGAAGAGTGTCATTCATTTTCAAGGACGTCTTGTTTTATATGTTTGCAATCCCATCAACCGTTGCGGCGTCACAAGACACCGTCAAAGTCTATAATGGGGTGCGGCGAATGGATTTTTCATTTCTGAACTGAGTGTTGTTATTTGTGCAGAGTTGGACTTCACACTATTGGAAATGAATCCATTCACAATTGTTGATGGGACTCCATACCCGTTAGACATGCGTGGTGAACTGGATGACACTGCTTTATTCAAGAACACTCAGAAGTAAGTATCTTGAATTTTATGTCTCCATATATTCACCCTAGGCCAAATCGACAAGGAGTAGACCACTGACTTAACTCTTGTTGATTGTGTACAGATGGGGAAATGTCGAGTTTCCTTTGCCTTTTGGCAGGACAATGAGTCCGGCTGAGGAGAAAATTCACCGCATGGATGAAAAGGTATGCGGCACTGCTCTGATAGTTTGAGGCGGGCTCTCTGGTACTACCAAAACCATGCCGCATGTACGAGCTCCCTGTTCGTTTGTTTCCAGTTTAGGGCTTTTAATTGACATAGCTACATGTTTGATTGCAGACCGGTGCCTCCTTGAAATTGACAATCTTGAACCCTGAAGGCCGAATCTGGACCATGGTCGCTGGGGGAGGTGCAAGTGTTATCTACTCTGATACGGTACTGCTTGTGTGCACTGTTATCATCGTCTTGCTCAAAGCACATTTTATGAACATATGCTACGGGGCTTTTCTGTCATTTCGACACAGCGATGCATTGATAAATTTGCTTGGGGATCGCTGCCTGTATGACTGAAATTTTGTGTCGCAGGTTGGAGACTTAGGCTTTGCTAGTGAGCTGGGTAACTATGCGGAGTATAGTGGTGCGCCTAATGAAGAAGAAACCCTTCACTTTGCACGTGCCCTAATTGATGTAAGTTCTTTCATAACATACATGAAACCACCTAGCCCACTAGTATGAGCTATGACTAGTAGTAAGTCTGTCTCGCAGAGAAAATCAATCTAATCAACTACAAATTTTGACGTATCTGTGAAGCATCTATTTGTTTAGAGGATCAGCCCTAGTTCTGACCTAGTTCTTTTTGTTAGTGTTGCACTGCAAATCCTGATGGACGCCGAAGAGCGCTAGTCGTTGGAGGTGGAATTGCCAACTTCACTGACGTTGCTGCTACATTCAATGGTATTATTCGTGCTTTCAGGGAAAAGGTAAAATTCTGAGCCCTGTATGTGCATCTGTGGTTGTACAGTTGGACTGATTACTATGAATCACGCACGGAATCTGACACAGTCCACATATTCTGTTCATCAGGAATCGCAGCTTAAAGCAGCTCGTGTCCAGATTTATGTCCGGAGAGGAGGCCCCAACTACCAAAAAGGGCTTGCCAAAATGAGGGAACTGGGAGCTGAGATTGGAATTCCAATTGAGGTTAGGCACAACGATTTGGGTTTCAGAACATGTCTCGCTTTGTGTTTTTCACACTTTCTCAACACTCGTATTTTGTTTTTAGTTCATAGAACAATGAGATACAACGAAGAACAAACTGGCTTGATGAAGTGTACTCCTCGTCCGCGTGAACCAATATTTTTCTTGTCGTCTTGACCTGGAGCAGGTATATGGACCAGAAGCAAGTATGACTGGAATTTGCAAGCAAGCAATCGACTACATCAGCATCGCCGCATAGACAAAAATGTAGGGGTCTTCAATTGCCATTCTTTCTTCACCGCTACTTGAGCATACAATAGTATTGTCTATTATACAAGTAGCGTTGCACTGATGTATGCTCATAGAATGGCAGGAATTGCATAGTTGGGCAACATTTTATTCATTCACATTATTCTGAGAAAGACTTGTTCGTACATCACTTATGGTTTGATTACCTACGCACTACAGCGTCACAATGCAATCAATTCATCAATATCATCAATTCCATCTCATTCATCTGTTCACATTCTGTCATAACAAAACAAATGTTGATGATCAGGACATGATCTTCAATTGTAGACTCCAACGTAACAATAATACAAAAACCGTAGTATATTTCTCAAAACTGTCAATGGGAAAAAAACAAAACCCGTTCAATGAATAAAAGCGGAGCGGCGAGCATGTTAATTGCTGTCGAGGGAATATGAACAGTATACGCGAAACTTGCAAGCGATACCGACAAGCTACATTGCATTCACAGCAGGGGTTCTCGCAGTGACAAGCACCGACGAGACATTGCCCAAGGCGGAGGCAGCGGACTCGACGTGCTGGAGAAGGAACTCGTAAATCTTCCGCTTCAATCTTCCCTTTGTGTCGACAATTCTCTCGTCCTCCTCGCCTTGCTCCCTCACTCCATCCAGCCAGTCGTTCACATGCTTCAATTGCGACAGCATGGAAGCAATCTGGCTATTATCGGCCCGGCTCACCACTCCATTTCCCTCCCCCGCCTTTCCATTATTCATAGAAATTCTAAACCCGCTGTCGAGAGCGCTCTCCATGAATATCAAAAACCATCTCTGCGCTTCAAGTTGCACTTGCTTGCCTAGCTCCACCATCTGCTGCAGGCGGGAGGCTCGTTCCAAAGGCATGTTCGCGATGGAGGATCCCTTCGAGGATTTTGCCAACAGGCCGTTGCGGAGTGGGACATGGATGGAAGAGCGCTTGGCTGGAGAGGCGGGAGAGGTCAATTTTGCTGGAGATTGCGGAGGAATTACCTTTGAGGCTTTAGGCCTGAGATTGGAGATATCGGTTTGAGGGACGGAGGACAGGGCGGGCCGGGATGCGGTCGTGGTTCTTGCGACCATGGCCATGGCGGCGGGAAGAGTTGTGGAGCTGAGCTTAAGACCAGCGCCGTGAGGAGCTTCGAGGAGAATTGAGAGCTGTTGGGCAGTTTGGTGGAGGCTGCTTCGGACGGAGACTGGGCGGTCTTGTCTCGTTTGGAGGGAGAACCCGGCCAGGTCGGATGCGAGAGCGGTGTTTATCCAGGTCGAGGCGGCTTGATAGCTCTGAGAAGTTGCGGTTTGAGCTCTTGGTGAGATTGGCTCATCATCGCGGCAGTGTGTAGATCTGCTGTGGAATGCAACAAGGGACTCAGCGATGGTCACAGCTTCGGAGAGCGTGCGATGAAGGCTTAAAAACTGCTCCACCGTTGCTTGAGGCGAGTCGATCCTTGCTGTGGTGCAAATTTCCGCAAACATGCTGTGCAGACAAGTGAGAGAATTAGTTCAAGAAATATTTGAAGGCACCGAAAATTTCAAGAGGACTCGAAAGCAAAAGTCGAAAGCTTGCCTCAAGCTTCGAGCGACGCATTCAGCTGCAGAGGCTTCCTGAAGAGCTTGGGTAGCAGCTGCCGAAGCGATGTCACGCGTCTGTAAAACTTCCTGCAAAGTAAAGAAAAAATGTCCGTTGAACTAGCATGGTCGAAAGATCCTGCGATTTGCTAGGAGTATGGAAATGAAAGGCTGCGTGAGCCGAGATGATATGCTTTCAGTTTACCTTGCCTAGAGACGCTAAAGATGCTGGAAGTGAATCCCAAGAGACGCTGCCGTCAGTCCACCTCTTGTTGAGTGCTACTTCTTTCTGTCCTCCCGAGAAATCTACAGAAGAGGCCAACCTCTTCGCTGGAGGTATACTTGAATCCTGTGAACTTGTTAGACTGCTTCTCGTCAGTGCAGATGTTGGTTTGACCGATGTCAGACTCTTCTCAAGCGTCGGAGACTTCGTTATTGCAGCATTCCGGGTGCTGTCTCTCGGTCTCCGCACAGTGCCCTGTTAAACAAAAACTAAATCCTAACATCAATTTCTCGTCTATACAGTGAATACTACTACACCGAATTAGGAAGACGCATCAACTTGTGAGGGGTTTGTACGCAGAATCATGTCAAGATTGTTACCGAGATTTTGTTGCCATTGGTGTTAGCTTCCTTCGAAGCAGCTTTCTCCTTCACAGCTCCTTCCCAGTTCTTTCTTGCAACTGGTTTAATACCAGTAAGAGACGCTCCGCTGTTGAGTGATCCACCTAGTGAGTGTTTCTTGTTCGTATCTGTTGCTAAGCTTGATTTCACCAACCCCTTTCCCGCACTGATAGACCTTCTAACTACAGGGGATTTCAACCTAATTGCGACGGTCATTGTAGGAGTATCCTTGTAAGGAATTTTCCTGTCTTCGGGGTACGAAACTCGGCTGTTACGCACTCCACTCACCGGTTTTGGGCTCAATGGCGTTTTCTGATCTGTGAGCGTATTCGGAGAAGGAGTACTCTTAGTGGAAGCATGATCAGAAAAAATCCTGGACTTCACCATGCGACCTCTAGGTCGCGACTGAGATCTTGGAGCATCCTCTATCTTCTTCGTCGGAGTTCCAACGGTGCCATTCTCCTTAGCTACTGGATTACTTATGCTTGCGCTTCGAGCAAGACGCTCGGCGAGTTCGGTGTCAAATTTCCTAGCAGCTGACGAGGATCTGTCTGGAGAAATTGTCATTTCCTCGTACTGCACTTGGAAGCTGCAGGAGTTGAGCGACAGTCGATCCGCTCGATCAGACGAAGACCTGATACTGGAAGATTTCTTCTTCGGCGTTGAAGGCTTGTCTGGTGACGACGAATCGCTCAGTCTGCCACTTTGGCCCTTCTGCGAGGCACTTTGTGGAGAGGGTACAACGGTAGCAATCAGATTCTCAGGAGTACCTACACATTGATGCCTACCAGGAAGAGGACGCACTCCTCGCAGCAGCGGGACCGGAGAGCCGGCCTCTAGTCTATCTATGTGAATAAATTGCCCGAGCTGCAGTTTGTCACTAAGAATTAGGTCATCGTGCTCTTCAGCGAGAGATACATATGTCGCATGAGAGGAGTCTGAAACTTTGATGTAGAAGCCATGGTTCGGCCAAAGTTCTCCGTTTGCGAGTGCGGGGACGATACTTATCACTTGCAAGAGCGCTGATCGGTGCTCCCCTGTCGCCTTCACGTCAGAATTGATGTGTTGCAGTAGCTTAATTAAAATTCCTGGCGTGAGCGTCGCCATTATATCCCGTCTTCCGAGTTCGACAACTGAATTTTTGGTGAACGTTGTAATGACAGCACCCTAACCCTTTTCGTCTCGTTCTTTGCAACTGTCGGAACTTTGGGTAACGGAGCACATTGTGAAATCATGCACCGACTATCAGCTGCCTCCCACTTCGCAGCATGCGGTTCCTTTGATTCGCTTACGTGTCAATAATCTCGGAAACGAGCTGAGAGCGGAGAAAGCTAGGAACATATTCCTGATCTGACGATTATATGAACTTGAAGGATTGCTATCTCGCGTAGCTCCTGCTCGTCAGAGCGTGATCTACGGATGATAACAAACCCCGATGAAGGCAACTATTGTCCCTGCTCAATTTCTATCACTATCAAATTCGGTGTAAAGAGTCCAGTCCCCACCGTTCCTTAACATTGTCGACACGCAACAATGGTCCTGACAACATTACCAACATTCTAGGGCAGAATACAGTCCAACGGGACCGACTTGACGAAAGCTCGAAAGTGGAAAAAAAGATGCTTCACTGCAGGATACTACACCTCCAGAGTGGCAATCAGAGAAGCGTTACGAGGAGAGCTGGCTGTCTTTCGTCTGGCAAAAAATGGGCACCTGCATGCTGGTATTAAGAAAGGCAAAAATACTGGATGTAAAACGGCCATATCCTCTCGAGCGCAGGAAAACCTAGAAAGCGTTTGCGAGGTAACTAAGCATCGTCCCAAATTTAACGCCGCAACTCTTGTGAAGCTCATACGCCTCTCATGTTCAACTGAATATACCAAAAGTATGAACAGAAGTGACCAGGAGATCGAATCGAAGACTTGCAGTGCAGCTTACTTACCATAACCGCAAATAAAAAATTATTGCTTTGATGCCAACTCAAATTTTGTATGAGTTGAAATGCTGTTGATCTAGCAAAAATGCCAAATCCCCCAACATGATTCTCAGAGGACGGAGCGGAAGAGAGAGTGAGGGAGAGAGCGAGAGCGGGAGCTGTGACTTCAACGGCAACAGGCTATGGAGATACGTCCTCACTCGCTCGTCGATCGAAAGGCAGGATTTGAGACGGAAGGAGGACTACAGGAGAAATCATTTCAAAACAAAACTGTGTCTACAGTGCAGTTGAGTGCAACACCGAAATCAGCGCAAAGAATCCACACTTCGGTATCACGCTTCCTCCACCAACGGCACCTGACCTGGTCGCAGCTCAACCGAAACCAGAGCCAAAGACTCTCACAGCATGCTCTTCTCTTTGTATTTCTCCACTCATCACAGCTTCTCAACCTTCGGGTATGCAACCACAACTGCAAAGACGATTGCTCTCCAAAGCACCAACACGAGCACTGCCCGAAGCAGCCACACACTCACGACTTAAGCCTCAAAACAAAAATAAAACGTCCAGTGAGTGAGAGAGAAGCCATCGCCAGAGGACATCACAAGACACCGCCTCTAACAGGAGGAAAATGCAGGTGAAAAAAACAACAAACCCCTTAAGGAAAAAACGAGAAAACAAACAAACAAACTCGTGAAAAAGTCGTTCAAAAAAAGAAAAATGAATCTTATGAGGAGGTAAAATACATTTCCTCTGCGAACATGTAGAATGCTGTTTAGGAGCTGGAGCTTTCAGGGCACGATGGGTTTTGCTAGCTGACAGGAGGAGGGGTAGTTGATGGCATATGATGACCCTCCTCACAGACCCCCTCTGCTGAGAGGGGTGGAGATGCATCCCCAGTGGGGCTGCTGCCTGGGGCACTCCCAACATCTCCAGGGCTCTGGAATTGTTGCAGCAGCAGGAAGGTGCCCCAGAGAACAGACTGACAGGATCAGCCAGGGTCCTTTCCCAAGCATGTGCATCTCTGGAATTGCAGCATGTGTGGGCAACATGTGCTCTCTCTTCCACTGGATGTTAAGTTCTAGTCTCCCTCACCCCAGCCAGCTTCTGTCATCACTACAGTGATTCTGAGAAAGATGGTGGTACAAGACACCACTTGCTTACAAATCCACACCAAGGTAAGAAGAGTTCTTCAGCCTATTTTTTTTGATGATTTGGCTCATGCATGTTTGAGAGGCAGGTTTGTTGGTCTGTTGGATCTGTACTGTGCTTCTGTTGCTTGTGTGCAAGCTTGTTTGTAGTAACATCTGGTGTTGTCTTGCTCTATGGGTTGAGTGCATTTGAAAGTGAGGTGGGATACAGATGTTTTCTTCAGACAGCTACAAGGGGTTGATCATGGGGAGTCACCAAACAATGCGGGTTCAAAGTACCAGCAGATGGTGTATGCTGGGTTAAAAGTTTTGGAATTAAGCAGGAGATGAAGCAAACAACTTCAAAGTTGGTGTTTACAGAATAATCCCAACAAAGGTTTACTGCTATGATCATTAGTTGGAAGTTGCAAGATGATAAGTGGGATACATTACTTTGTTATCTATTTTTGTGGATGAAAACTTGGTTTTGAGAAACTATATTTGATAAGTTTGCATAGAAATAATCAAAAAGGTTTGCTGGAGGAACAAATTTCGAAATACTCTCCACCCCCCTCCCTTATTTTAGAATGTAGTGCAATTCATACTCAAGGAATGTTGTGTCCTGCAAAGTTAATCATAGTCAAATAATAGTCTTGTCAAAGTTTCATGTAAGAAAGGATGAAGTTAAAAAAAGGAGCTGATTATTTTTATACTTACGATTGTCACAAATGAGATTACAATGATAAAATTTTGGAAGTCGTGGTTATTTGTAATGTTTAAGAATTTCAGTCATCAAAGAGAAAGGGTGCTAAAACAATGCAGCTTCAGAACAAAGGCACTTGAACTTGAATTAATACTTAAAAATGTTGGAACTTCTTTGTTTGTTTTTTTGGTTTTCTGATGTTGTGAATGCACTAACCTTTAAAAAAGATGTTGTGTTTGATGAAGCTCACACCATTAACTTGTTAACAACTCATAAGTATCACCTTCATATGAATACTAACTCACGCCTACTCAAAACTACCATCAATTAACAATCCAAGTATGTTGTTGAGTGATATTGTCTTACATGAGTTAAGTGCTAAAGAAGTTGACCTCACCTTGGATTAATATAAAGTGATGTGAAAGTTGAGATTTGTTATGTGCACTATTTTGATAAAAATAGTGATTGTGAATTTCAAAGTTGTAAGATGGAATTCGTCTTTCCATGGGAGATTTCCAACAATTAAACACACTTGGGTTTTCATGCACTTGAAGTTGTGCATAATATGAATTTATGATCCAGGTTTAGGGCATTAAATGCAATCCCATGGACCCCCCCTCATCAATACCAGGTATGATAACAAAAAGGGAGGATGGGAAACAAATACTACAATAAATAAATGAATAATAATAAGAATCATAGTAACAATAATACCAATAATATGTGGCCACTGGAAGGACTGCCACAAAAACTGATCAGCTTGACAACATAACTCCCAATCTATACTAAAGACATATGTGAATATACATTCATTCCCATGCATGTTTATTTGTTCATAAATTTTCTGAGGGAGGGGGCTTTTGGAAGTATTGGTGTAATAAATGTGACAAAAACTGACCTTCTCTTTGGTTTTCTCTGTTTCTCATTTCTAGTGCACATATTTGAAATGTGCAAACATGTATGCAAAATCAATAAATTCTGTAAAAAAGAAAAAAGGGAAGGGGGGGGGGGGTGTGAAAACAAACAAACAAAAAGAAGGTGTAATTGAGTGGAAACAAAAGAGATATATGGGACTTTTGGGAACATGGAAACATAAATTGTTATTATTTCGGTAAACACTAGGTCTAAACTAATGCATAAAGAAGTCATTGTACTAATTTGTAAATTCATTTTTAATTTTTACAAACATTGTGTTTATTTTATATGATAAATTTTATTTCCTTTCTTTTCTTTCTACTTTTTCCTTTGTTTGTGCAAATTTTGTATTTCTGATTTTTTTATTTTTTATTTTCAAAAAGGTCCACTTAACATAAACTGTAAAGCATTACGATAAATCGATCCTAAATATGTCACATTTGCTTCAAGTTATAGTACGGTGTTTCAAATCTTAACCTCTCTGAATGGGTTTTTGTTTTTGTTTTGTTTTTTGTTTTTTGTTTTGTTTTGTTTTTTTTTTCTCTCTTTAAACTTATAAATCTATGTTTTTTTGTTGAATTTTTATTGTTAATATCAATTTAATATTGGAATTTTTAATGAAGATCATTTTAGATAGGTCTAGGATTTTGGATGTTCAATAAATCTAGAGTAATTCGATTAAATACTGTCTGTTGAAACTATTAATTTTTTCAATACAGAGATGAATAAAACATTTTTGTAGCATTTCCATTTCGGTTTAAATATTTTCAAAATCTAGAATCCAAGATGATGAGAATAAATTCAGAATATTGCATAGGCTCTTTTATTAATAATCAAAGTAGACTTCTATTTTTTTTGTCCCCCATTATGCAATTATTCCATAAAATCATTATTACATTATACATGATTTGATCTGATATTTATATACTTGTGGCACTATGTCATTTTTATCAAAATGATTGAATGTTGCAATAACTGTAAATTAGTGTAGGTTTTGATTTTGATGTATGACTATATATCAACTAATTTGAAGGAGACATGCAAAGTTAGGGTACTCCAAAACAATCCTCAATACTTTATTATTAATAGATTCATAGACCTATATAGCAGTTATTACAGCACTAACAAATATAGAAATTAAAATGTTATATTCTGATGATGAATATATAATGTGCTCACCTAAACAATTCAATATTTCATAGTTTCAACTTCATTTAAATAATCTGATAATGACATTCATTTGATCAAATGTTCGTAGCACACAGTAAAGCTTCAACAAAGATTCTAATAGAAGTCTGGATTTTATTTTAAAAATAATTCGTAACAAAACGAGAATGATGTTACTGCATAATAATAGTTTCATTATCCATTCACAATAGAAACTCGCGCCATTAATTACGGTTCATTTTTTACTTACTAAAAAATTATATTTGTTTGCTACAATGAAAGTTAATCTTCTTTTATCTACTTGAAATGATTTGTAGGATATAACATTCCCATCATTATACACATTTGATTGTAATTTCTTGCATGTCTTTTGCAAATAAGGGCCATCAGATTTTTTTCAAATAGAAGGTCTATCATAAGCTGACAATTGGGCATTTAAGACGTCTACCATTTTAATGTTTAAAAGTTTCTAAGCATTATTTATTTTTAAATTTTGTAAATCAAGTTTAAAATATTCATTTAATTTTCCTCAGAACAGATGAGAAATGTCCTTAATAATCATGTCGGTTTTTAAGATCAAAAAATAATTGTGATACTCGTGTATCTTGTTTCAAAATACAATACACACTGCTCTCATCTTATTCTACGTAAGATGTTTACACCTTCATTATGTCAATAATCTGATACCCATTTACACAAGTATTATGCACAAACTACACAATAGAAAAAATAAAAAGAAAAAAAAACAAAAATATCTTAATTTTACATAGTTTTTGAATTCATTTTTGTTTCTCTTCATCGTACACAACTTACTGAAAAAAGGAGATTAAGAATTGTAAGTGCACTCTATCACATCCAACATGAAAATTCAATCAATAAATACATCCGCAAACATATTCAACACCGTTCAGCTTTGCTTGAACATTTCATCGAGTTTCAACGTTTGTGAAGGACCTGGTGCCTTCCAATGAAGCAAAGGTGGGAATTTTACACAACACCCGAGTCCCAAACCTTGAAATAAACATAACATCCACCGACAGTAAGAATAAATGTCGGTATCCAAGCTGTCATCTTGATTGACAGGCAAAAGATAAAGAAAACACCGACACAAAGTTATTTATTTATTTATTTATTTATTTATTTATGAAAAAAAACTTGCTCTTCCATGTGAATCGCATGGTGTCGGCTTCGGACCATGGCTACAATCCCTATTCGTGGAATGTATCTATCAATCCATTCCCTTCCCATACCCATTGGACAGTGGAGTGAATGGATCCAATTAACTCTTCGCAAATTGTAAGGGTTGTTGTTGTAGAATACAAAACCCACGCCCGTGTATTTGTCGCACTGTAGTTTTTGATCCCACAACGCAGTGCTGTGTGTGTGTTGCCATTGCTCGGCCTGTCATTCATGGTTGCAAACGCTTTTCTGACTCTTTGTCGTTCAGAATGGCAAATTCATCTCGTCGAACATATCCAAACCTCGACGATGGAGGCCGCTTAGTGTGTGAGAAGAGTGCTGTGCTGAAAACCTCGAAGCAACCAAGGTTTTTTAGACGGGGTTCGAAATCGGAGCATGGTTAGCATTGCGAGGTAATCGTTCCTTGAGTGCTTGGAACGACATGCTTTGAAGGATGATCTGAAGATTTGTATTGCGAGCGTGGATTTGTGCTTTTGAATTATTTCGCATTCACGAAGACTGTTGAAGGATCAATGGCTGGCGTCTGCGGTTCTCTGGGTCTCTGGCAACGTCGAAGTAAGCATTAGTCCTCTCTGCAATCAAGACTGTCTTGTAAACTAGATTTGCAGTGATGTTGGTTTGAGATGAGGTTTATGAAGTTGGAGACGACTTTATATTCATGCTTGTGACTGCAAACAGATATTGCGAATTTTTGGAAGTAGAAATCTGCAGTTGTTCTTGGCCCTTTCAGTGCTTATTGAAGGCTGGTTAATTTGTGGGTGTGTATTATTGTTTGAGTTTAGATTACTGTGTAGCAGGATAGCGAGTTTGACCGGAAGAATGTGGTCTGCAGTGACGGTGAAGGATCGAGAATGATACTATATGACGGATAATATTTCTGAGGTGTAGCTTCTGTCACTGCGTCTTCTTAAATGCGAAGTTTTTGTGCCGAAGGTGATCTTGCTTTGATCATTTCTACTGAAAATAAAATAAAATAAAATAAACTGGTCATTGTTCATATCATGATAGATTTGTGGTCAGCGCCTTTGTTTTGTTTTGTTTTGTTTTTTCTTTCTTTCTTTCTTTCTGTATTGCAGCTTCTGATGCACGCAAGGTCGAGAAAGAAATAAGTAAATGATATCAGACTTCCAGCGAGCGGAATTTCCAAGAGCATCTGAGAACTGCCAGTGGTTCTGAAGTGGTCAGAGGAGTTTGTGAGGCGATTGAATGTCTTAAACCAGCTGCGTACGAGCAATGAAGAATAATAGCAGGGATAAATTCGAATTCGTGAATTGATATGGCGGAGTTAAGGAGACATTGTAGAGTTTACAAGGTCCGGTTGAAAGATCCGTTTCCATGTTGACGTCACTTTTAGCACCTCAAGACTCTTGAATTTCTGTCATATTTGAGAAGCTGGTGTTGCTACTTTCTACTTTCATTATAGCGTAGCTGAACAAGTAAGGATTGAGGTCTTGGTTGTGGCACAAATTTATGTGACGTAGGGTGGCCATGCTTGCACTGTGTTTCCTTGTCCATTCACTGTGAAAGCTTCTCAGAGGTTTGCAGCTACAATCACAGTTCATGGTATTTGAGTGCTTTGCGGCAGTCCATGGAAGGAAGACCGTTAAACTTGTATCGATACAAGAGAGAAAAAACCCTCAGATCGTGTAAGGTGTGTTTGAGAATCAGGTTATGATCCAGTTCGGCAACTTTGACTGTGGATACTAATCTCCCTAAGTTGTAGCAGTGTTTTTGCTCAATTAAAATACGGTCCTACTTGAAGAGCTCAAAGTACAGCTCCTGGATGACAAAGAAAATTGCAGACGCGTGAATGTTTTGGACACTCCGCCTGCAATCAGTACATTAAGCACAGAAAAGTAAATGACACAGGTTTCGGTTTCGGCAAGGATCTACTACACCTTCCTCCGATGTGTTGAAGAAGCAGAATTTGGAATAAACAAAATGCAAGTTACCAGGAGTTTGCTGCAAGCCCAGAGTGAGTTGGCAGATGGACTTCGGAGAAAACCTAAAGAATGGGTATGAATAGTTAGAAGGATAAGTATGAATGAGCTTCACAAAAGTGCAACACCCAAGTGTTTCGTTTAGTACGAATATCTGGCAGTCATGGGTTGTAAGAAACCCGTCTGAGACAGTGCTGTGTTTCGTAAGAAGTTTGTTTCATTCCGTGTATCCACTCAAAAATGCGCACCAAACAGTCCCACGTAGCTACAGAGAATTGAAAGCGATGCCCTGTCTGCAACAATCTAAACCCCACTAAAGCCACTCCCAATCGTCCAGAAAAACGTTGTGATTCAAAACTGATGTCATTCGAGCCTATACTCCGGAATAGCACCGAATTTTAACATATAATAAGTGCGGTGAGCAGTGCCCCTTCTAAACAGCGCCTAAAACGAGACATCTGGTGGCAAATGCTCCCATGAATTTCAGTTGGAAGGTGGTTGGATATCCAAGAGGATTACGACCAAAAAGATGAACTAATATTATTCTACCGCTGTGATTTCCGCAATGCTCTCTTGAGACTCAGCATCGAATCTTTCGATATAAACAGAAGTGTTGTGTGTGTGCTTTGTGAACACACGCCCATCGGTGTTTGTGCAATTGGGTGTTGGATTTTCCTCAATATTCCCCGACGTCGAAGGCTTCAAAATGTACATGTACTCCCCATGGCTCCAAAATGTACTTCGATATTTCTCAGTAGGGCACATTGGCATCATTTCCATTTGTTTATGAAGTTGACCCTAATGCTCTTTCGGACTAACAATTGCCGTGAAGGCATTCATCTTAGGAGGAAAATCATCGTGCTGCTAATCATCCAGTTGCAAGATGTTGCAGTTTGACGTTGATGATGAGCTACCCATGTACTTGTATGAATCCTCACGCGCAATTCTTGGTGTGTTCTTGTGAGATCCTCAAGGATGACTATGTGGGTCAGAGAACGGGGAAGAGAAATTGTGTGCACTCTTTCTCAGGGTTCAAGGTAGCGTTCCAGGCTTTAGGTTTTAGCTTTTGTTGGAGTCGATGGTCTCTGCAGCGTACAAGTTCTAATTGCCAAGGATTGATAACGAGGTGGGCGCACGTCCGATGAGTCCCCGGCATCACGTTCTCGTTAGGGTTCTGTGGGCTTTGAAGGAAGGCGTCATTGCTGTGTGAGTCTCCTCAAAAGCCCCGATGTGGATTGCTGTGAGATTGTTTCGATAGCGTTCATCGATCTGAGAGAAACTTTGGCCAATAGTTTCTGAATGATGTTGGTTCCAGGGGTGTGAATTCTTGGTCTCAAAACAATTTCGGATGTGGAATCGGGGCGTATTGCAGATGATGGTTGCCAAATCCTCATCACCCTGTGTACTGCAAGTGCTTCACAACGCCGGTACGAAAATTAGGGTTTTGGGGTGACGGTCTGAGTTCAACCATATTCGAATTCTGCTGCGTAATTCATCGAATCAGTATGGCGCGTAATCCAACCGGTCAGTATCCTCTTCTTTTGTAGTAGATAACTTACTGATGCGATGAGTGTGCAGTTTGCTGTTACAATACCTGATAATATTCCTCTGTGAAGGCACGGAATTTAATCTCGCCTAGAATTGGAGGCATTGGTATGGTGTTGTAATTAGCTAGGTGAAGCTGAGGTTTCGGCGCATGGCCAAAGCATAGGTCGACTCTTGAAAGTGTTGTTATGGATTTGTCTGTGAGCATTTTTTTTTTTTTTTTTATGCGATTCCGACAGTGGGATCCGAGTTGGGATTGATGATGGAAGGGAATGGGAGGGGTAGACGATGTTAGTCAGGTAGTTTTGCTGCTAGACGTCAATCCCTTTTTTTGGGGAGCAGAAGCGGCATCTGGTGGCCGCTCGAACGGTTCTGGGGGGCTTGCATTTGACCAGTATTTCCAGCACGTAAGTCCTATTTGTCTCCGCTACTTCTTCCTCCAATGAGCCGCAATATCCCAGAGGAATTAAACCAGCTCAATATGCTTTTCGTCTGGTGAAATCTTAAGCCATCTAAGTAGGAAGTTCTCAGAATTAATTTTGTTATCTTTCATGTTCTTCGATCATTCGTCAATTTTGACATGTTGAAGCCTTCAGGATTAGACGGTTCAAGAATCCTTCAAACTGAAGAGCTTGCTGTTTACTACTTTGTATGTGTCTAATGTCAAGTTTGTCTTTTTTGCAGGCTCTTATGTTCGTGAACGGCATTTTGTTGTTAAACCACACCAATAGAATTGTCATTATTGCCACTGGGTCGAGCACATGGTCAGTCCAACAATTCTTCTCAAGCGCACTTTGGTTGAGAGAGGGGTTAAGTGATGCTATGGTTGTCAGTTTGACACTGTTGAAGCTGATAGTTTGTTGGTTTTTGTATGCAGCGCTTTTCTTTATGATTCGACAGCAACTGATGGCATCAATGGCAGCAGCGTTACATCTAAAGCAAACAAAAAGACACAAGTGTCTCGAACAGAGCTAATAACAAAAAGCATGCAGGAGTTCGTGAGCAAGGAAGAAGAGGCTTCTAAAGAATCTTCCCAAATTCAATATTCAAATATTTCTGGATCATTATCGATGGCGCTTTGCTGTATCCTGTTTACTACCATGGTGCTCATGAATGAGCCAGCTTGTTTTCATTACATTCACCTTTTCTGCGGCATGATTTGAGATTCGTCATTATCAGATGTTCACAAAGAATATTCTTCACTTGTAACTCTGCATAATATAGAGAATGTTGAAACTATAGGATAAAGATCTAACGGACCATCTAGATGTATATAGAATCACTTCGAGTGAGGTCTTGTTCCTTGATCGAGATTTGAACAGACATCCAAAGAGTACTAAGAGGACCTCTTCCACATCCCCAAGCCAGGGTGCGTCAGTGTTTCTTAACTTGCAGCCGTTAACTCGTCAAAGTCATTTCATGTATTTTTAGGATTTCTAGAATGCTTGATATAAACGGACGATGACTTCATCGCTCGGAAGAATATTTTTGGTAATTTGTGGTAGTTCGTTTACATTCTGGTGCAGCTGAAAGTACTCATTTTTGTATATTATATAGTTGGTCTATAACTCATTGTTTGCCTCACAGATACTATGTCTGCAAGGGTCCCCAGATGCTCCTTATCAGTAAGAATCCTTGTAGTCTTACCTCTTGTGTTACGGAGACTCCAAACTGATCCGATCAATGTTAGTAAGGGTTAGGTGTTGTCTTGCGTACATGTTTTATCTTTTAAAAGTTCATTTTAAAGATGCACAACCTTGATTTTGGGGCGGCATCTAATTTTGGGGGAACGTATATGTGTTTAACCATCTGAAGTCCTAGGTGGTTGGTTTTGCAGATACATTTCTGTTATGAACTCTATTTTTTCCGCGCAGAGGAATGGGGTAATCAGTCTGCTCTTTGTTCAGCTGCTCGAGTTGCAAGTTTATCTGAAGCAGTATTCCGTCGGAGCTCTGCTAAATATTTCTAGTGGATTCTTTAGTTTCTCGTTCGTGATTCTTACTTTGGTTCCACTGACGCCATTGTCGATGGCTTCGTTTAAATGGGTGCCAGGTTGTAATTGATGCCTGCGTTGTTGGAAGCCAGCACTCAGCTTTTCTACAGCAGGTATGCAACAGCAGTGGTTGCTTTTTCATCCGTTGGTTTGATACGATTTCACTAGATTTTGATATCCTATAAATAATGTTAGTCCTGTCTTAATTGTAGATAAGCCCTACGGTTCTGCCCTGGGCGTTTAAGTAGCAAGAACCATTAATTTGTGTTTTTGGGGTGGATAATGGTCAGGCAACACATATCACTGGCGGAATTTATATGAAACCCCCTCAGCCGGATGGACTTTTTGAGTATTTAATGGTGCCCGACATACTTGCTACCTTAAACGAGATTGTGTGAATTCTTTCGTGGTTTATCTCGTCACATTGTAGCATTCTGTTAAGAAACTCTCCTACAGTTGAAATGTGTGCTAACCGCCTTTTTTTGGCTTCTCATTTTGTATGTGTTTTTATCGTCAATGCTATTACTTTGTTTGTGGTTATCATGTTGTCGCGAATTTCGTAACCGTTAATATAAATTGGATTTAACTGGCCATGGGATCGAGAATTCTAAATCTTAACTTTTGGAACGTGGGTGATGCAGATGGTCTTTACTACCGACCTCTTCTCAAGGCAATTTCTGCAACTACCGCGACCTGTGGGGGTTGATTTTCGTGCTTCGTAAGACACGATTGCCTCTTTTCGGAATTAATCTTTGATACTTTCAAATTTGTGAAACCGTCAATTGTTGACCAGTTGTCGTCGTCTTGTTTTATCAATAAAATTTGGATGTAAACGTAATCACCGTGGACTTCAGGTGTTTCTGTCACAAGAAGACCATTGACATGGGGTTCGTATGCTCGGTTTGCCTTTCAATCTTTTGCAAGCACCATCAAACCTGCTCCACTTGCGGGTATGTCGATATTTCAAATGAGTTGGTTTTCAATTTCATATGATTTCTCTCCCACACCAATTGCTGATGTAGACGCATATATGATATGGAAAACGGAACCTTGATAATCTCTTTATCAAGAATCTGTTGAGCTTGAGATCTCTGAATTTGACACTCTAATTTGTTCAGAGCAACGTTTTCAAGATCGAACTCGACTACCGTTACTGGGATGAAGCGAAAAGCACCTGGCTCATGACAGATGGCTTATACAGAAGGCATTTAGTGTGAGAAATACTGTACAATCATTTTTTGGAAATGCTGACAATAGGTTACATACTGCAAGTTTGAGGTCTTGCATCAGAGATGTTTGCGAAACAATATGCCTGTATTCTATATTGTTCATCTGAATGAAAGAGTTGGTACGAGGGCTAGGATCAGAACCTACCCGATCTACTCCAGTATCCACGGGACTCAACATCATAAACATGACATTTAGTGTGCTCGTATTTTCACGAATTTTGATAGAGTTTCATTTTTATTCTCTTCTGAAAGCATGAATCGTTTTTCACTCAAATAAATATCAGAAAGCATCTTACTAGGGAATAACTTTGATATTTTCAGAAGTTTCCCAGTCAAACTTAGGGCAACAGTGCATAGGGTAGAGAATTGCACTACGTACTTTCATGACACTGGTCGTCGCTTTGACTTAGTCTTTGGTGAGATGTAGTCGTGCGCCTACGAACTGTAACGACAGCCCGCTGGACATTGAGAGATGTATTCATCAAGTGTCTAACAGTTGTTTACTTGGGAATTTCACTTATCTGTCATCAGAATGTGGGTGTTTACCTCTCATAAGCTGTGTGTTCAAATATAACCGTACTTCTTTCTAAGTATTAGGGCTGCCAGATCAAATCTCGTCAATACTAACGTCACCCAGATGGGTTGAACAATAAGAGTGAGGGCCAAATAATATGTTATAAATTCAATGCAGAGCCTCATAGGCTCTTTCAGTTTTCGAAATCCTTACATAGATCGCCACGTTGCAGAGTACTGCTTACTTGCACGTTTGGAAATAGGAGAATCTAAGTTTGAGCAAGTTAGCCCGTTTAATGACTCTAGTACAACCGCTCCTCACAAGACGAACGTGAGTTGAAGGTACCCATTTCGGAGAAAGTTCACGTATTCATAATATCTGTAATTCATGGCCTCAAGTAATTATAGGGTATCTAATTTCCAGAAATCGAATGGAACTCACATTTACCAAGGGTATAGATCCCTCCACTTAAGCAGCACCAGAGGACGATGTGCACAAAAGGCGTCTGCTTGTACCCATTAAGTTAGCAAGAGCTTCTAAGGTTTTTGCCAAATAGCATATGACTTGCCGGACGTAGCAAGCTCCCAGTCGCCCAAACGTGGGCACCAGTCTCCATCGCCAAGCTTCATGCAAACTTTTTGGTCTATCATGGCCGCATAGACATCATTGTTTGCTTCCAGGATTTCAACTCGGGAGCGACTGTGAAGATCATTCCGTTTTCGAATTGCAATCTACAAGAATTAACAACACATAAGCTTCACTGCGAGCATAAAATCTAAACATTGTAACATATAACTCGAAAGTAAAATTCTAAGGCTAATAAAAAAAAGAATTGCAACAAAGCATTCAAAGCGCATCTATAACAGAAGCTTTTGGCAGAAAAAGCTGAAAATATTAACTACTTCTTACACTGTTTTAACTTGGCATACAATTAAAAAGTCATTGCAAACAAATGCGGTTGAAAGAGTACCATCCGGAGGATTTCATCTCGTAACTGCGTTCCCCAATCATACACATGATCCCAAAACACACAGGGTTGGCCTGGGTGTGTGAGGATATAAGCGTAACCCTGCGCAAAAATATCACATCAGCAAAAACACACTAGATAGCCCTCTAGTAACGCTTGCACTTTTACACACTATATCTACCCCAAGGAAGATTGAAATTCTAAATTGAAAGGAGGAATCAGAGTACCTGTGCAACGTGGTCCCATGGAAACGGCCAAAATCCCTGCAAGTGTGGCCAACAATTAGAGTTAGTTCAGAGTAGATATCTAACTTTAGTGCACCTGACGTTTCTTCATAGTCTCTAACCACCACATGTATGACCTGGCTTTGCTTTTTGCAAAGGTGGCTAGAATAACACCAACAGATGATAAAAATTCAGAGAGAGAAGTCTGTATTTGGAAGAAAAAAAATCTAAAACTCCTAATTAGTGGTATTGTAATGGTAATGCAGTGATGTCAGATAAATATAGAGATACACAGCTGGGAAAAAGATTACTTTACGATGTGCGATTTTATTCTAATTGAACATTCAGAAGTGTTAGTATCTGCGTTGTTCATAAGAGCTGTTCTGAGTAGTATGAAGGTCAAAAACAAAAAGGGAAAAGCTTCTCCAAAACCTGAGTGGATCCAGTGTCATGGTTGTCAATAAAAGTGACAGCACGGGAAGGCCACATGCCAATTACACCGGGAGGTCGACCTTGTCCATCTCTTAGTCTCCACCATTGCCTTCTTCCCACTGCTTCCTGTTACGCTTCCAAGTTGAGATCACAAAATGCATCTGAACTGCAAAACTACTCCACTCCAGAACTACTTGTACACACTATGTTTTGCTGAACTTTACAATCCGTAGAACTAAGGAAATAAAAGACAGTTGTTGAATGCAATGACCAACTGGAAGAAGCTGTGTGCTGCAGTTCTAAAGAAGAATTCCACGTTGAACTGAATTCTTACCTGAAGGATGGCCTTTGTGGTAAAATCGAAAGCACATGCTGCGCCGATACAGCCGTCAATCCAATTTACTGTTCGCTGCCGATGAGCATCTGCAACGAGTACCAACCTATACACGATGAGCGTGTTATCAGACTCGAATATTCATGAAACTAAACTTCTATTCTAAGGAATAAATCATCAAGCGTAGTTTCCACAACGTTTCTACAACCATACATCGGGCTTGCTTATCCTTAAGCAAGCAATATCCCAATTTTAGAGAATATGCACAGAGGAATTCTAGAAAAGAACCTTGGTTGTAGTCAAGTGACCAATCAGATCCACTATATCTGCATGAGTCCCAGTACTCTCCAATCGAAAGATATGGCTGGGCAGCGTCAATAAACTCTCTCACAAACCTCGGAGCATACCTGCACATATACATGCTCTTCAATTTCGTCAGAAAAAATGGAGGATACCAGAGAGTTAGTTGCATTACATATATCACAATGATGCCATACCATGATAGAAAAAGACTTCAAGCTGTCCCAGTGGGGGCTACAATTCATATAGCATCAAAACTAAGTAGTGGAAATAAGAACTTCCGATGGTACACAATAGCTAGTGTGTATAATATTGCTGCTGAAAAGCTCGTGGCATAATATATAAGCAATACATGGTCAATTGAGGCATATATTGAGTCCGAGAAAAGTACCGTACCCCTTGGAAAAATCAAAACGAAAGTCCTTGAAGCCGAGGTCATTGCGCACCCAATGCATCCAGCCTTTGAGGTCATTTCGAACGAATTCTTGAGTATGATCAAGATTGGGCACACCTTCAAAAATGACTCCTGTTTTTGGATTACCCTGTCCATGCATGCAAGAAAATATATTGATTTAAGCATGCTTGTTGAGTTTTTGGTTTCTGATCTGAAACTACGGAAATCAGGACAGTTTTCTAGAGATACACAGAACATCTACTTCACAAGCACGTCAGTATTTGTTTCAACCAATCCTTCTCACTTCATCTGCATGGAGTACATTGTCGATCGCTTCAGATTTTCATATGTCTTACCAGACAACATATCGTCAGAAACAATCCTGATGCTCAAGCGACCCAGAAGAGTACTGTTTAGTCACGGCACAGTTGTGAACTTACCAGGCCAAATGTATCACAAGTAACAGCATGTTCATCCCACGGCATGGGCATCCCATCATAGCGGTTGTAACGGCCTGCATAACCTTGGCAGCTCCCAATCCGATGGTTGATTACAATGTCTGCCATTGCTCGTATACCCCTCTCGTTTATCTTACGTACTAGATCCCGAAGCTCACCATCTTTGCCATATGGCGTATTCAAGGAATACAAGTCTCGAGGTAGGTAACCTGATTTATAACAAATAACGTGTAGTCTTAGCCAGTCCGTTCTTTTGATCATCCGTCGAAAAATTTAGCGTATCAGATGAAAAATAAACACATCGCCAAAGTTTAGAAAATAGAAGAGATTTATCGGATGATAGCCGTGATGTGGCGACGGAATCAGACCTTGAGGAGCTAGAGAGTCCCAGGGAGGAGGTAGCCACAAAGACGTGAAACCCCATTCTGCCATTTCATCTACCCTTCCTTTAAGCAGATTCCACCAAGGCTGCTTATGTGACTCCCAATTGAAAGCCTGCAGAGCAAGAACAAATCGTTACTCAGAATCCAGTCATCCATTTGTGCATTAATAGTTCACAAATGACCTGTACTATGAGATGAAAGGCCACAGTTGAGTACTCAGAGAAGTTAATTGTACCTGAAAGAGTATTTCTCTGCCCCTTTGAATGAGATCATCCTCTGTCATTACCAAATGGTAAACGTTAGTTTGCCATGCAGGAGGATTAGAAATCCTGAGCATCACTTTCTGTGACACGCATCTGATCTGTATCTTTACACGATTAAAATGCACTAACCATCGCAATACTATGCTGGAAAAAATGAGTAATTCGAAGAGTACTGAACTGCATCGGCTTCACTTACTCAAGTTCGCCTGTTCTGGTAGAATATCCTCAATGCGAGCCTCCACAGGCTCCTGTACGGTTGCGGAATTCAAAAGACCAACAGTTTAGGGCATAATCTCCCTTCAAGGAAAGTAGCTTGGATGCATCATATAAAAAAGAACCTGGCAACAGTCGAACTAACTCAACTCAATAGCTCATGATATTTGACATCTGCGAGAGATAAAGTTTTGTACCGGCACGTCGTCATCGGTTCTGTCTGGTTTATTGCGCTCGGCGTCCGATTCCTGTACGAAAAGTTATTACGTTCACTCAGTGCGTATCCTCTAATCACATAGCTTTTGTAGTAGCTTACGAATGTTAGAAACGATATCAAGTTAGGGGCAGTAATCAAACCTTCATCCTAGAAATATGGTCCCAAATATAAACCTCCAAAAGTTTAAGAGGACAATTTCCTCTTTTGTAAGAACTACCCGCTATCCAGATGACGTAGTGCTTTGTTTCTCGACTTGTTAAACATTCTGATACAAATTCCTGAAAGTTTTAGGAGGATGCATTCCAAGTACCTTGAGATGCGAACGAGTCCGCACTAACTGTCGAGGGGCACCATTCTCTTTTGCTGATTGAATCTGCTCTACATTCTGAAAATCCACGGAACAATTCAGCTTCTTTTCAACATAAAACATGCAAGCGTCTGCTAAGTTACCAGTATAAGCAATAATTTCAAAAAGACATGCCCCAACCAGTACTTGTAATCGGGTAACAATACTCATCCTCATCACTCCCAAATGAAAATGCAGTCGAAGCTTTCACGATTAACCGTGTACATAGTTCTAAGCTAGCAGATAAAGCAAGGCCTAAGAGACAGATACTTGTATGAAAGTGATTCTTTCATAATGGCCGAATCTTAGAAGTTACATAACTAGAAGGAAAGTTAATATGATTGAGAAGTTAAAAGCACTTACAGCCTCTGCCTCTACATCATGAGATAATTTGCCTTCAACATAAAGAGCTTCGGGGTCTGGAATTGGGTCCTCCATTGTTCCGCTTTTCACGGCTCAGATAAGAAAAATACCTTCACAAACTAGCACCATGTATCGAATGTCAAAAACATTTTGAGCACAAATGCACTGTGCCCAAAGCATAAGATAGTAACAGAAGAATTCTAAAATGAACATATATTTAGGGATATACTTGACTACCAGACCATGAAGACCAAGTAGCATCGTATACATACCAATCGTGAACCTCAGACCTTCAGAAGATGCAACAAAAAAACAAGAACCTCCACGAGCAAGCTCATACAGAAGATCCACAACACAAGCTATGTAGTTCATGCTGGCAAATTGAATTTTCAAAACTAATATAAAGCCTTGTGGTTAGCAAGCTTACGTCACCAACGCACATATGATACTCTACACATCCATGATAAAAATCAACCAAGACCTCATGTTCACCACTTTTCACCAAAAACCCATGTCCCAAAATCATGCTAAGGATCACCTCACACCGGCCCCCCTACCACACCAAAATTCGAGCATGCCGACAACCCAAAAGATCAGTCCATGAAACACACGATCAAACCAACCAACACCCGTAACTACGAAACGCTGTTAAACCCCAGACCTCCTCCACCATATCCTACAAAAACCAAAAAAAACCTCGATACGCAGCTCACGAGCCATTCATCAAATGCGCCTAAAGCCCACAACCAAGAGGAATGAACCACACAGACAAACACTGGCATGTACCTAATGAGAGGAAAACAGAGCCCAAATCTCACCACGAAACTGGAACCACCTTCGGCTACGGTAGTAATAATGCGGGCTGGAGCTCACCATCCGCCATAGCTGAGATCAAATTGCAACAAAGCTAGAATGTAAGCATGTAAGCCCAAGTAGTAGAAGAAGAAGAAGAAGAAGAAGAAGAAGAAGAAGACCCACTCTACGAATCCCGAATAGATGGAAAGGCAACAGTTAATGGACGCCAGGGACTGGGGGCGTGAATTACCACATGGCGTGGACCTCAAGCAGAGCAAGGATGAATATGAAGAAGTAGAAATAGAAGAACAAGCAGGGATCGATGCCAAAGCCATGAAAACTTGACCTGAGGGTCTCTGTCTGGCCTTGTGCCGCAAATCCTTCAGATGTGCAAAGTGGTGGCGGTAGATTAGCACACTGTGATCTTGACTGATTCCAGAGCGTGACGGGAACGTGGCGGTGGCCACTGTGAGAAAATGGTGGTGTTTTTTTTATTTTCTTGTAAAAAAGGGTGCAGAATTGTAGACCATCTGGGTCTCTTCTGTGTGCCATTTTGTTGTAAGATTATTATAATACCCGGTGGTGGTGATGGTGTTTTTCCTTTTTTTTTCGTTTTTTATGTGTTTGTCCTCTAGTGGGACTGGTTCGACTAACATTGTGCACTGGAATGATTCCTTTGGACGGACTACTCTCTTTGCTTGGGTGAGACTTCATCTTGCTTCATCTCTATGGTTTGCTTGCTCAGGGGGAGACGGATTCTTGGAAATTAGTGGTGTTGAATAGAGGCAGAATAAATGTTAACCTATATATATATATATATATATATGTTGCATAGATTTTATACAAAAATGAAATAAAATAAAATAAAATAAAGCTCTTCCGACCACCCTCTCCCGTGATTTGTGGTGTCTGCATTGTTTTTGCATTGCTTCATCTTTACTCATGTGTGTGGACAGTTGATCACCTACAATGGTGTTATGAATGTGGAAGTGAATGTTTCATGTCTAATTTTACATTGAAGAAGGCACCATTGACATTGTGTGTGAAATGTGTAAGATCAATATGAAGACTTGTTTACTTCCTAGATTTATCTCCTTGATTTGTTGCACAGGGGGTTTATTCTTGTCCTAACTTTTGTGAGTATATATATATATATATATATATGTGTGTGTGTGTGTGTGTGTGTGAACAATAAAGCTTGTATATACTAAATTGTTCTATAATGCTACATTTGTTTTCTTCTTAAGTTCTTGTTTTTTTTATTTTGTTCAATGGAAGCCTGAAACTTTGAGAAAAAAATGTTATTAATAGTTTTTATTCTTTCCTTAGCTTTATGATGTAGCATTTTAAAAAATAGTTGTTGAAAGGTCTTAGCTGAATGAAGGTTCAAATTTCAAATTGTCTATAAATGAATAAGTAAAGATACTATGTAAAAGAATATTTTTCTTAGTTTGTATAATTATGAGTAAAATAAAACCGTTTATTACTCCAATATTTTGAAAATCTCAGCACAACCTTCATTCACTTGAAAAAAAAACTAACCCATTTAAATTTGTTCAGAAGGGTTGGAAAACTTGAAGATGCTTGATTTTATAATAATCTGATGTTTAAAATTGTCGCCGTACGGTACACAAAAGTTGAAGAACTTTACAATGGTTTTGTTAAAATTTTGAATCGTACTTCGTTCTAAAAGTATACCATAAGCCATAACTGCATTTTTATTCATTTATTTATTTTTCCTCAAAAGAATTAACAAAAACATGCACACATAATAAACTTCAAAATAATACCCGAAATTGTGTGACATCCTTGGTAGAGGTAGCCGAATATTTTTAGCAATTAATATGAAATCTACAGCATAACGGTTGTTTTCCAAAGACAGGCACTATGAGCCACATGGCGAAGTTATAAGCTCATAATTTTTTTGCAAAATATCAATACCAAATTATTTATGGTTTGTTCATCAGGAGATATAAAACTCATAATAATGAACAATCAAAAGAACTCTATTTAGAAGAGTTCATATATATATATATATATATATATATATACATATATTATCAAACAAATAATATGAATGTATATATATATATATAAGAAAAACTGAATAATGAAACAAATAAACATAAATCGTACATTATCTATATATATAAATATATATATTCATACATTCACAAACCCGGATGATGTGGTAACGTGTTGAGCAATCAGAAGCACAAACCTGTCTACCACAGCACTAACCACCCCCCTCTAATGAATCAAAGCTCGAAATGTGACATGGCAAGTGACGACAAAAAACAGGGACAAAAAGCCAGAGCCTGACGGTCACGAACCATTCCTCGACGACGACGATCTCCACACTTTATTATTACGGTTCCAAAATTCAAACCCACGCCAGGTCAACTTCGCCCCAAACCACAAAGCAAACGCACCCAAAATTAACAACAACAACCCACAACCCACAACAAACCCACAAAGAGGCGCTGCTGTTGCTGCTGCATTGGAAAGGGGGTTTCACGGGCAGCTAGCTGACCGGGCAGGCCCTGAAGCGCCACGAAGGTACACCGCGGATGCTGGGTAAAGCGACCCCCAAGTCCGCGCCTCCGCGACCCCCCCCACCCCCCACACGAGGCAGGACAGTGATTCAAATTTTCTCCCTCCATCTCTCCCCCTACCGCACCAGCTCACAGCGCAATCCATCAATCAAACACACACACAGAGACCCCCCTCAAGCTAATCCCTGGGACTCATATCTCACTCTGCCTTCCTGCCTGACTTACTGAGTGAGTGAGTGCTGGGCGTGGCAGACTAAACACGGGCTGCATTGGAGGTAGCACCCTGGAAGCGCAGCTTCGTACGTGGTGGGTGTCTTGGGTCAAGGATACTACTACTGCGCTGTCGGTTTGCTCTGGTTTTTTTTTTTTTTTTTTTTTTTTTTTGTTTTGTTTTGTTCGTGCGGAATCGGAGAGTGGGTTTTGCTTTTAAATTGCGGGAGAGAGGGTTGCTGAGGTGTACTCCGGGTATGTTTTTTGCTTACAGAGGAGTGGGTGGTTTGGGTTTTGCGAGAGTGGCAGAGTTCTGGGAGAGGGATGGTAGTTATTGTGACTGGACAATTGGGTTTCTGTTGGTTTCCAGAAACTGGCGAGGAGGGGAGGTTGTGGGAAACTGGCTGGGTGGAGAGCTTTGTCCACCACAATGGCATGTGCTCTATCTGGCAGTGGGGGTCTTGGAGAAGCAAATCTTGTTTTCAGTGGTGAGGAGGTTGGGTTGGGGCTGCATGCTGGGCTCGTGTCGTCTCGGGTATTTAATTCTCATGTACCACTGCGGGTAACGAAATGTGGCCGGGCGACATTTGTTGATGTCTCATAGCCAGTGAAGTCTAGCTGAGAAGCTCAGGGTTTGCTTGATATAGTTTTCCTTCATTCTTTCTTTCCTGGGTGGTGAGTTGTCTTCTGTCTGTTTGAGATGAATGCATTCACCCATTCTATCGACTCGCGAGTTTTGTCACACAGAGGTCCCACGTTCTCTCATCTCAAAGATTCCTACTTGGGGAACAGAGAGAGTCTTGTGCAGCAGTAGTATATTACGGGCGTTCTGGAATTTGTGCGAATCCATTGCAACCCTTTCGAACAGAGTGGTCTCTTCATGCAAAATATCTCACTGAAAGTGGATCATTTAGGACGTAACTCTCGCCAGGCAGCTACCCTAGCAAAGTAATGCTCCAGTTTCGCTCCTCTGGAACGTCGCAGGGTGTGCATCGTTTTAAAAAACTTTGGGGATGAATACACTGCATGTAGTCATAACTTAATTGTGGCCTCAAACTCAACAGTAGCTGTTGAAGTCACGACTTGTCGGCATTTCGTTGTTTTTTCCTCAAATGCAGTTGCAAATTGTCAAGCTGTGTAAGCTTCAACTCTTTTCTTGAACACCACATTCTAGTCGAAGTATTAAAATCATGCACTGCCATTCCACGTTTTATTCTTCGAGTGAAAGTAGGTCACCAAAAGCGAGGGTTTTATGGCAATTAGCATAGCCGTTATCTCTACTGAAGACTTTCTAGGTATCCATTCTGATGGTTGATCATCAACGTTGGGGAAAGACATTATGTGATGTTCAGATCCTGCAAGAGGTTCTCATTGTGTTGAGGGTTATGGCTTCTCGTGGGCAGGATGTTGAAAGCGAGAGGTGGTCAAGGAAGATAGAGAACGAGAGCATCATGGGAACATCCAGGAAATTGTATAAATCCCTGGCCACGATGAAACGGATTGTAAACCCAAGCCTCGTGGACAAGAATGTTACGGTGCGTACTGGACCTTGAGAGCTCTTACATGTCATGTCTACAATCGAAAGTTGGGGCTGAACCTTTCTCTTGCCAAAGTTGTAGTGCATACTCCTGAGCAAGTAGTACTGCCTACATTTAATCGATTTGTAGATCTGAAGAAATACACGGCGTTGTGACATTATGCAGACAACTCCCAGCGGCGAGAAGCAGCGACGGTGGGTGCCTTGGAAGACCTCTGTAGAAGACGTCAAAATGAAGGACGAATATCCAATCCAAGACCAGGATATGAAAGATACAAAAGTAACAAAGGACATACTGGCTGACTTAATGAAGAAGGTGGACAACTACCTTTTAAGCTCAACGAATGACCGGCACATTAATTCTGAAAATTGGGCAGCCCTTCGCATCCAGACCGCATTTCGTGCATTCCTGGTACTGTGATTCTGCCAGATTTACTTCTTCAACAGACTTCCTATTTATCCATTCTATTACTAAATAAATGCAATCTGTAAAAAAAAAATATCATGTGCAAGTTGTCACTTTTAACACGCTTTATTGACATCTCTACAGGCGAGAAGGGCTTTGCGAGCTTTGAAAGGGATTGTAAGGCTTCAGGCATTAGTACGGGGCCACACTATTCGCCGTCAAGCAGCCATCACTTTGAGGTGCATGAAAGCTTTAGTTCGGGTACAAGCTCGAATTCGTGCTCGTCGAGTGAGGATGTCAGAACAGGGTCAGGCTGTGCAACGCAGCATATTCGAGCGCAAGTGTCGAGAGGCAAGGGTCTTGGAATCTGAGGTAAGATTAGGCCCTCCATGTCATCCTTCAATAACCTGAGCCTCGCAATTTGAGTGCTGAAGACGCGGGCAGTGATGTGATTAATCAGTTTTTCAGGATGTCTTGGTGAAGTTCTGAATCATAAGGGACGTTTTGACCAACATGTAAAAAGAAATTCCATTCTCACCTTCCAAGCATTCGACCGAGAATTTGACAATAAATGCACAAACAATCTTCGGTGATGTGGAGAAAGTGAGGTCTAAATTGAAATTTCTTCTGGCAGCGTGGTTGGTGTGCATACTCTGGGACGGTGGAAGACTTGCAAGCCAAACTACAGTTGAAGAAAGAGGGTATGATCAAGCGAGAGCGCGCATTAGCATATGCGAGCATTTATCAAGTATGCCCCTGTGTTCTTTTCCACTCACATAACGCCCTATTATCAACATACTTCCCCTTATATGTCAGATATTCCTCTGCTGCTTATTGTAAATATGGTCAAGATTTTTTTTATTAATAACTGAATGGACAAGTAGAGAAGGACAATTGCACCCAGATGACATGTTTTTCGACCAATTATTCCAGAAAGTCCGCAACATTTGTGCTAATACAATATCTGAGAGCTTTGGTTTCAGTGGAGAGTCCCAGAAGTTGAAAACCCACATGGGTACTACTTCAACCAAGCCAGGCCGGACAATCAACACTGGGGATGGAGCTGGTTAGAGCGGTGGATGGCAGTTCGTCCTTGGGAGAATCGCATGCTTGACACCAACAACTTAAAGAAAGACCCTCACTTCACTCACGACACGGAAAGCAGCTTCAGTGGCAGTGGTCCTCAGCGCGCGGCGTCGAAGATTATCAAGACGATTAGTTCAAGAGCATCAAGCAGTGTTGTTGGCAACACCCGGGATTGCAGCAGCTTATGCGGAAGTCTACGTAACTCGCCCTCTAGATCTAGAGGAAGCCAATCCTTCCATCTGCCCTCCACCACAGGAAGGGAAAAGCAGGTAGAACTTATTCCTTGAAATTGTCCACCACCAGCAGTTAAATTTCTCTCTACTGAAAAATTAGCGCCATTATACTGCCATTTATTATATTCACTGAAATTTATTACTTTGATACTGGGCTTTGAAATCGCTACCCCTAACTTGAATGTTCGTATCAATTCCTCCGGCGCAGCACCAGCGTGAGCATGAGGCATATTTCGACTACTTAACCTTCAACGCTTCCACAGCTTCAAAAGCACAGCATAACCGAGCCCCACTATCGCCCCTGGACGGCAACATTTCCACTCCGAGACCAACAAAGAGCTACATGGCAGCCACAAAATCTGCCAATGCCAAAGCTAAGCCGCGGGCACAGAGCACACCCAAGCAGAAGCCAACCTCGTCCTCAGTGGCAGAAGACAAGCTAGTGAGTCGGAAGCGCATGTCATTTCCTTCTAAGGCCATCGCTGGAGGGAGCTATTACTTCACCTCGAAATTTCCAGTAGCTTCCGAAGATTTCAATATCAAACCACTAACAAATAGACGAGACGGATCAATGCACGTATTCCCATCAAATGTGCACTCTGAACGTCCATCCTCCAGAAATAGCGAGTCGAGTTGCGGAGACAGTTGCAATAACCTGCGCAAGCCAATTAGATTATAAATATAGTGTGAGAATCAATGGACGCACTGCTGATCTCTCCACAACAATCGTTGAAGTAAAAAGAACTTAAACGTTGTCACCTGGTTCATGAATTCAAATTGACGTAGTTCATGAATTCAAATTGACGTAGTTCATGAATTCAAATTGACGTAGTTCATGAATTCAAATTGACGTAGTTCATGAATTCAAATTGACGTAGTTCATGAATTCAAATTGACGTAGTTCATGAATTCAAATTGACGTAGTTCATGAATTCAAATTGACGTAGTTCATGAATTCAAATTGACGTAGTTCATGAATTCAAATTGACGTAGTTCATGAATTCAAATTGACGTAGTTCATGAATTCAAATTGACGTAGTTCATGAATTCAAATTGACGTAGTTCATGAATTCAAATTGACGTAGTTCATGAATTCAAATTGACGTAGTTCATGAATTCAAATTGACGTAGTTCATGAATTCAAATTGACGTATACTTTGACCTCAAAGAGTGAAAATTTGAGACATGATCAAGTGAAGCAGGGGTATTGTATTATAATTTCCGAGAGAAACCTGTTCTACAGCTTTTGGATTCAGTAACGGACTCAGTTCAGGGGTGCAGTTACAACCGAAGTTACAGAGTAAGTTCAGTGAGTGTCGAAGTGAAAGGATATTCCCTTGCCATGGACCTGTGACTTAGAAACTGCAGCAAGGTGGGGCAACTTGCAGAGGAAGCAACTCATAAATAAGAGATACCAAAATCTAGCACGTGGAATTTGATGATATGCTACTTTGAAATGAGAGTCTATGACCTCGAAGCTCACAGCAATATTGGAAAATAAATCAGTTATTTCATGAGCTGAAGCGAGGAAGTTGAGAACACGCCGACCGTGGGACTCGAACCCACGACCACGTGGTTAAAAGCCACGCGCTCTACCAACTGAGCTAGGTCGGCTTGATGCAAGAGATCACAAACTAAAAATAATTATATGTTTCCAAAAGATTAATCATCTGAACCTTTAGATGTGTGTTTATTCCGGCATTTTAGATAGTCAGGATATGGAGTGTCGAAAGAGAAAAGCAGAGGGACAAAAAAGGCAGAATTGAACACTGAATGAGGTGAAGAAGTAACCAAAAGACCATGAATGGGAAACACATCAATGAGCTCTCGATACTATTTTACAATTTAATCATCAGCCAGAATCGAACCGAACGAAGTTGAAGCTCATGAACACATTTTCCCGTAGTTTAGGCTTAGAGTTCAGTACCCACCAAGTTATTTACCTTGCACCCGTCTCAAGGATCAACGACATTATCTCTATCCCCCAAGATCCCAGGCTGTGAGTGTCGACACTAGTTCACCCTAAACCAGAAAAGAAAATCACGGCATCAAATGGAGCAACGACATTAATCGAATATCTTCAATAGAAGACACACCAGTAATAGCTTTTTAACCATGAAACTGAAATCGCCGAAGATCACCTACTACAGGGAGGCTGAACTGCAGTGAAGAATAAATAAACATATAATCAAACAAAACTCTTCATTGTTAAGTGGTTCATGACTTAAATTCTAGTTCCAACAACAGAGGTGATGCATACGAGTCTCATTCCAGTCAAGTTTATATCGACATCCTTCAAACCTCGATTCTTCGGCTTCGGACCAGAATGACTCTCCTCAATATCTTCGGGCTTAATCTCCGTGTTTCTAGTAAGGCCATGGGCAGATGTATTCGCTTTCTCAGTCGCTATCCGAAAAGCCTGCTAATACTCATATGTATTGGTTAATTAGATCAAATGTGAGCCAGACAAGAACATAGAATTAGCTCCGAAATCAACAAAAACCAGGTCAGTCTCCAAGAATAAACATAAATGCCAATTATTTAACATTATTTTCAAATCCCGCAATGAGATCTCGATATGAGAATTATGCTTGCAACGTGAAGACATAAAAAACTCCAAGACGACAAACGCAACAGGGACAGCCTTAGAGGGCCAAGGTTCCTGAATTCTCTCCATAGACAATGCACAATATTCAAGACCAGCATCTTCCAACTTTGACGACAATCTGGACGAGAGCCCTTCATTTCCCTGAAGTCCCGTGTCTGTTCTCCACATTGTGACCATCAACCGAGTAAAAAGCAAGAACCCCCAATTCAAAAACAGAACAATATAGAAAACACAACTCGCGGAATAGATCAACGGCTCCCAACAAGTGCACGAAAAACACTAAAAAGAACATGAGAAACCTCCCATTTGAATTGCAATGCAGCGGAGCCTTGATATCCACCAGCAAACCAAACCGAGAAATTCAACAGGCAAAATGAAAGACCCAGTACATAAAACCGTCTCAAGCCTCCCACCCACCTGAACTGAACACAAATGAAACAACAAAACCACACAATCAAGGAGGGAAACTAAACTGACCTAAGAAGGCGATGGACCCGACACGGAAGGCGCATTGGGCGCGATCTCGAACCGACGCCTGGATTTGGCGAGCGTCCCTAAGGTCACAAACTGCCTCTCAAAATAACGAACGTATGTGGGGGAGATCGAGGTTGAAGGCTTTCCCAGGCAGAACACGCACATAGCGATCAAGAGGGAAGAACATGCGGATCCACTGTACAGCAGAGTGCAAAACCTTCTACATCTGAGACGAGAGAAATCCTAACCAACCCAATCCGAAGACAGCCAAACCTGCAAAGGTAGCGTAGCATCAGCGAGATCGATCCAAAACTCGTCGCAAGCAGTAATTGCGCAACGTGAAAAAAGGTTTTTGAGCGTCGCTAGTAGCACGAGCATCCGCGATACACCTCGGGGTTTAGGGTTTAAGATCACTAGTCATCCAAGACCGTGGATGAGGGTCGTCCAGTTCTGGATATGGATGAATAGGTGTCGGGATTCTGTTCAGCATGGCACGAATTTCATACTAGCTGACGTGGACCAAGCAATTGTTATCCAAATCTAGAACATAAAAAGCACACAAGAAAATCGTTCATGGAGATAATCCATTGTAGATACTTAAGTCACATTTTAATAGGAAGTGTCACAATATGAAGATATGTTGAATCAAAATATTTGGAGAATGGAGAAGCCAATGGAAGGACACCAATATGTAATTTATCAAAGATTGTAATTTCCTTTGAAAATTGCAAGAAGATTCTTTTAATTATAGAAAGTTTTAATGAAGTGGCATAAGCAATAGATGGGAAGTATATAGATTCTATTTTCTCTCTATTTTTAGTAAAAAGTAAATTTGAGTGAAAATTGTTGTTTTGACTACTCTAATGAAGTTATGTATCATTGGTAAAGAAAAATTATAAAATCTACAGAATATTGGTTGTAGATGAGTAATATATTACAATGGTTAAAAAATAGTAATATATTGTAGTAAATCTTGCAATCAAGTTAGAAATTATATTGGAGAAATACTAAAATAAGACTAATTGAAGGCAAAATTTGATTCACAATTTCTTCTTCTATATCATTATTAGGACTTGCATTCAAATTAGATTGTACCTTAACATGAATATATTCTACAACATCCATAGTAGGTTGGTTTTTACTACTAAGTAATAAGTCTGAAAATTATTGAAGTAGATCATTAATCTCTCTTACAGGAGCAAGCACCAGAGCATTAGTATCATAATTTAAATCAGTTGTTCAAAATAAATCAATATATCTCTAACAATGGGATATAGTATTAGCTGAGATACTAATATGCTATGCTTTTACTATCATAGTAACTGCATTACACACATCAATTTGAGGCTCCACATTTGACATTGAAGTATCAATTGATCTTTGTGTAAAATCATTTTAATATTATGCTTTGAATGATGCTATAATATTGGCATTAATAGGTTGATAACAACTTGTATTTTTTGATGGCAAAAACTCCAAACTTATAATATTGATTTCTACTTCAATATTTATAATTTTGCAGCCTAAAAAATTATCAAGCAATGTTGATACTTTTTCTTTTTGTATAAGATGCATCTTCCATTCAAAGTTTATTTTTTTTTAAAATTGCTATTGTCATCCATGCTCCAGAATTTGCTATTCATAAAATTCATAAATTCTTAGGCTTTGTAACATTCATTACATTAAAAGCTCTTGGATGCAAATTTTTATTAATGAGAAAAGGAAGAAATTTAAAACTACTATCTATATTACGTGTTAGAACAATAGTAAGTCATTCTTTATGTTTTTTTTTTTTTTTTTATTGCTTAATTGATGAATTGCTAAAGATTGATTTGGCTCCAAATAATAAAACAATCTAATTTCATCCATATTATAAGTATCAATAAGATTATATTTTTGTATCAAATCTTTAATCTTAGCCATTTCCAATTGAATATGTTTTGATATATTTGTAAAGAAATTTTTACTATGTCTTGTATAAGATTTAATGTCATAATGCTTCTTAAAAGTTTTTAACTATTATTTCGTCACAGTCATACATATTTATTCTTTTAATTATCTAAATAATATGAATAGGTAGAAGTACATAAAAGTAGATAAATTTCATAATATCTTGTAGAAAAGCTTTTTAGAAGCTTTATAGATGCAGTTTCCTCTGTATATGTGTCCATAGGTGATTGATAGGTTGAAAACTTGGTCAACAAGTTAGCTACATGTTGCATGTGTTGGTAGCTTATAATACAAGTTAACTATGTAGCTCACATATAGGAAACTTCTCTTGCAAGTTAGATATGTATTATACAAGATGGACATGTGTTGGAGGTCTTATAGAGCATTGCCACATAGCTCCTAGTTATGTAGAATATATAAAGGCAAGAATAATGCCTTCTTTAAACTTGTCAATTCCTTTCTTGCTTCTTGTTTAGTTTCAAGAGTCTCTAAATTTTTAGTCTTTGGCAATAGACATCAAGTTGCTTCTTGAATAATATTTCTATTGAATAATATTTTTCCAATTATAAATTTCTACAATGCCCTATTAAAATAAATTATGATATTATATAGTAGTCTCATAAGAAAGTTTAATTTAAATTCTAACTCTATACCATCAATCACACACCAATTTAATACATCATTTCAATGATATAATTTATACAACGCCCTATTAAAATAATTACACTCCCACAAACTCAAATCCATAATTAAAATAAGCATAAAATAAATATTATAATAATAATGGATGAAAAATAAAATTGGTTTAAAAAATAAAATAAAAATCAAAATTCGACTTCAACTTAGCATTTACTTGAATAATTGGTCCATTCTAAGTCTGAATTTGAAAAATAAAACTCCAATCAAAGTTCTACTTTGGTAGATACAAGTGCCAAAAAAATAAAAATCAGCATTATTTTGAATTTTTTGCTGCCCATATCTATTGAAATACAAATCCGATTGGCCATGTTTTTGCACATTTGGACTTGTAATGGTCCAATTAGTCTAGAAAATATGTACCTTCAAGAAAATTTAGACAAAAGAAAACTTGTATACTAAATCATGTAAATAGAGATATGTAATTTATAATCCTAATTCACTAAAAATAAGAACAATGTACTTTGTTAAGTTCATCTTTATATTCAATCAATCAAATGCAAGGGTCTCTATAGTTTTGAATCTATTAGGTCATAGTGTAGAGACTTCAAGTCCTCCATTCAATTTATACATCTATTTTTATTATAATTTTTGGATGCAACTTTTTCACTACGTATAGAAGTGCATTGTAATCCCACTTGCAATAACAAGTGGACCTCTATGTCTCTAGTTGTTGCAAGTAGGTGAAAAGGTTTCCACTATTTCTATAAACAATGAACAAAAGATTTCTACTTGCAATGATTAAAAAGTCCACTTATGTTATCTATTCATTTTAACAAAATTAAATATATTTGATTAATAAACATGGAATCTAACTATTATCAAGTTACACTTAACACTGCAAGGATTATAGAAAGCTAACTATTAACAACTTAACTATTAGCCTTATAATTTTTACAAAGTATTAAAATATTAACTTATAAAGTGAAATAACTTAAATCAATGTAACCTTTATTGAGATTTGACTATATCTACTACATCAACAATAGACAAGCTTAAAAAAAAATAGACTTTGCCAATGATTGTAGGAATTAAAATTAAACCCACTTCAAACCCACTTCTTCTTTACTACTCAACCATGCATTACATATCTATATGCCAATACACAAACTTGCTTGACTAATTGATACTAAAACATAGTTGTAGATCTTGATAGAACAAGTTCTTTTATATAGTAACTATACAACTATATGTCATCTATTCTAATGACAATATAAGTGACCAATTTGTTTTATTTTTTGTATGAACATTACAAAATCCATAAAAGAATAACTACATTATTAGAAATAGAATGTCAATCATACTCCCTCTTCATTGATTGAAAATGTCTGCTCTTAATTTGTCTTTATTGTTAAGAACCATCTTCAATGTTCACAAGGTGTGAAAATTATTCTTAACTATCAAGTTTTGATTGGCTTGTACCTTATTGAACATTTTCCATCAATTATTTTTCCAAGCTTGACATTCTCTAATGTTGCCCTCACTTAGGTTGGTCATTTAAGTCAAGTGAGTGAAATAATTGCTCTGTGAGTAATCCATAATCTGAAACAATGGTACCTATTTTTGACGGTTTAGATTATTTCAATATTAAAAGCATGTTCATTGATTACAGTATTAACACAAAACTAATTAACCAGAATGAAGTGTTTGAGGGACGACATAAAAATGGAGCTTTGGTGACTCATGTTCTGAGGCTGGAATAGAAACATGGACAAGCCCTTTCCCGTTGTCAGTGGAAGAAAGGAAGCGTAGCAAATTCTTTCCAGGCACTATTTGGCGGTCTCTATGCTACGTGGACCAGCTCGCCTGCAGGAAGTTGTGGGGCATGCAGGCTCTGCCAAAGTTAGAAGTTCCACAGTATTGCCAACACTTCTTACTCCAAAAAAAGGGCAGGCGAGCAGGTGAAGGCGATCAGAAGGACCTCGGTGGCTTAACTGGATTAGGTCCACGACAAAGGGGATTAAAGCAATCCACACCTTGTGGAGAACGGCTTCGCCTACGTGGCTGTCCAAGCTGGCAGAGTTCTCTGCATTTCAGCCTCAGGAAAAAGCACTCATTGCAGACCTCCTTACACTGCAATTGCGTTACCGTCCATGTGAAATTAATGGAAAGTAACCGAATCCCATACAGACAGGTGTGAGGCGAAGACCGTCATATATATATATATAAATATAAATAAATATATTTTCATATTCTCGAAGTCATATGTTGTTTTGGCTTCTTAAACGGAAAATAGAAGCAAACGGAAAACATGCGTTCAATCCCAACCAGTGACACATGGTCACGAAAACCAACATAAGAAGTTATCCTTAACAAGTAGATATTTATTGACAATAAGTACTGTGATGAGGAAGAATACATAATATATTGCAGTGCATTTTAGATTTCAGGCTAATGGCATCACTTCGTATAGTTTTCTGCACATCTTAAAGGATCTGGCAAGTAGGCTTGAATCAGGCCCAGTGGAGGCAAATGGAAAATTTATGTAATCATATACAGGTACTGCAAATGGGCACCGAAACATGAGCTGGGAAGCTTAGCTTTCGGGAATCAGATCATTTGGTTTATGATTGAAGAACCAATATTATTTCTATGTACAATTGGAAACTCAGAGGCTTACATGAAATCTCTTCATGTTGCTGAGTTTTCTATAAACGCTAAGCTGCAAACATCCTCCCTCACCAGTCGGCCCAGACTTACGCCCACTCAGGCCCCGCCGGGGAAATGGTTTGCATGATACCGCCGAAAATTAAACTGAGATGCGCGCCATTAATACCACTTTTGCACTGCATAGGGGTTTTCTGAAGTTGAAATAGTGATAGAAATAGTGCGGTAAAGCTGCTCCAGAGTGTGCAAGGTGCAAACCTCCTAGCGAAAACGCTGTGGAAAAACGAGCATGAGATGTCTATTCATCTCTGCCGCACGCTAGCCTCGCCCTCCGAGGTTCCTCTCGTGTTTTGTTACGCTAGCGAACGGCTGCCGTCATACTACACATATAGAACGCGTATGGCAGCGGAAAATAGTTACAATTGTCGACTGTCATGCTTTCATGTGGAGGAGACCTTGGTGGTGAAATTGCGACTCATCGCCATGACGAGGCTGCCCACATACGACCCGCCCGCGACCTTCACATCATCGTCTGCAGTCTGACAATCCCAGAACTCGTCATCAACATCCTCTTCCTCGCCTTCGAGAGCGGTGTCGATGTCCCACCATCTGTCATCTGGAGAAATATCCTGTTTCAGATCACATGCAACTCGATTCAGACTGGTCGCTCCGAGCATCCTCACGTCGTAGGCCGAGAGGGACCCAACTTCGTCGTTCACGTACAGCTCCGGGCCCTGCAAACGAATACCATAGACGGTGCTTGCAAGGTTCAAATTCATTGAGAGTTGTCTGCTGCTGGACCGACTATCCCAAAGCGAGACAGAGTAACCTGGAGTGGCAACGGCAGGCCCTCCTGACGAAACAATACATGTACACAGTTAGTTGAAATGGCTAAAACAATAGAATTGCCCTGGAAATTTGAAAGTGGGTTGTGACTAAGAACTTACCTGTGAAAATAGTCTTCGGTAAAGTTCCCCTGTCTAAGTGAATCGCTTGCACGGATTGATTTGTTTCGCAACATTTCTCTTCCGTTGAAACCTCCAGATTTACAATGCTAAACGTTCCATTTTTCCTGCTCACGGCCGCGACTTTGGACACCAAATCGGCATCAAAACCCGTCACCATGTTCGCGCCACCGCAACCCTTTGACAAATGCAAGCTTTTCACCAAACATTTGGTCTCACTGTCCCATATCCTAACAACGTCGTCCCTGAGGGTAACAAGGCTAGAGCCTTTCGTTGAGACTGGGGTTAAAGGTGACGACCAGAACTCGCTGACTGATGAAGATTTCTTCGCGCCGCGCACGACAGCATCACGGACTCTGAGTTTCCAGAGAGGATCCCATTCGTGAGAAAAGACTGTGTTCTTTACAGCAGTTGTCGGAGATGGAGTATCTGTGCAGACTAATGGCCTAGAAATAGGTTGCATCCAAACGGGCAAGAGCGAATCGACTCCATAAACCGTGGGAAATGCGTCTCTCCTGATACCCTCGCGCCGTGACGACTCTGAGGTCTCAGCATCATTGGGTTGCGAATTAGAGAGAAGGGCAAGGTGATAGACTCGGCTTTTCTCAAAGTCCTGCGATGACGTGCGTCGCGATCTAATTGTCATCTCCGGGGCAATGCGTACAGTTGAAGGCTGTGGTCGCGGGTGGTGGATTAGAGGTGACGTCTTTCCAAAAATGAAAACCATCTCAGCAGTTTTCGACTGCTCGTCGGAGGAGCTCGACGCGTCTTTGCTGCAGGAATCAGACGTACGACTCAGAATTTCCTCGTCAAATATCCTGATGTCCGACAGAGAGGAGAAAGATTGCACGCGGACGCAAACATGGCCTGGTTTCGATCCCCACGTCCAACCCACACTCACCACGCTCACTCTCAACATCGACAGCATGGCCAACACAAGCGTCGCAACCACCGCAACCCATAGAAACTCCTGTCCTCGGAAATTGATCGACCCAAACCCAAGCCCAAGGCCGGGATTCTGCATCACCACTCCCCTCACCAGCACGTCGACATTCTCCATGGCCCTAATTCCAATAACCTTTCAAACGATTCCAAATCCAGAAAAATAAATAAATAAATCTAATACTCAACCTGGAAGCATGCTCTCCTATCTAGCAAGCGCTAAGACTACAGCGTTGAAACCCAGAAGCTACGGAACTCAAATTCGGATGACAGTTTCTAGAACCTGCAGTTACAATTGCTCTGAGGCAGGCTGGCTGCGCGGAGGGGAGGAAAAGGGAAGATGTTGAAGAGGTAGAAGAGACACGGGAGAGGAAGTAGCGAGCGAACGAGGGCATTTGTAGCAAGCGGGGTCCGCCGATAGCAGGCGGTTGAGATGGTTGAGGATGGATGCTGCGCTGATCTGGGCTGCAAGTGAAAATGAAAAACAATATATTTAATAGTTGATGGATTCGTGGTGGGACAATCTGCCGCGGCGCGGAAAGCCACTGCCGCAGAATGGACGGAAAGGCTGATGCTCGGCAGATGCAGTGTCAGAGAATTGCCGTCATCCGCCTCGTTGCGTCTGCAAAGGAGTTGGTGATCGACCCATGTACTTTTCGGATTTACCGCAAAACTGGAGATAAATTTTGTTGATAAACTTGGACAGAATCCCTGAAGCCAATTGCTCCAGCTCGATTGGGTTTAGGTTTAGTGGCCCGCTTTTACAATGTTTTGAACGTCACGACATTCTTTAGCTTGTGTGAAAAGTGGCCTCATTCCTTCTATTATTATGCCAAGGTAAGATAAGATTATATACCCACTTTTGAATATGTGCACCTGCGCGATCTTAAGGGAGATATGGGTACATAGTAGTTCTTACTATATTGTAACTGAGAATTCAAAAAATGTAATAGTTGCCGCTGTTGATGATGAAACCAAACCTGTTTCAAAAACACTAAATATACTAGAATAAGGTTCCTATTCCGCATGCATAATTTGAGTTTAATTTGTGGTGTTTTGTCTTCGCACGTTCACCAAAAGGAAAACACACATTAACACGATTCTAATTATTTTACTATTTAATTCAACCCCGGTCGAGATGACCATCATTTGATGCTGATTCATTTCGTACCATCAAAAGTTTACAAACAATATATTACCAAACCATGAATCGGTAAACCACTACACCTCAAACCTGTGCCAAACACACACTCGTGTACATATATATATATATATAGTTTCAGCCATTGCTACTGAGGTAGCTTCGCCTACTTCAAGAAAGCCGACATGGATGAATTTCCTCAGAATTCCAGCGCTGAAAGACACGCCACCACACGCCAATCCCAGGTTTAAGATAAATGTAGGCAAAGCTCCCACCTGCAATTCACAAGAGGCAATCCACCACCAGTCAACCACTTCGGCACCCAGCAGCAATTTTCGGTCGCCACCTACGGCGAACATATTCCATCAACACAAGCTCCAACTAATCAATAGCGAGAATCCACCACCACCACCATCACGACCATCACCACCACTTCAGTACCCCGTGCCGGAGGAAGCAAAATATGCGGGAAAGGGGAATCGAAGGCGGAGGTGGGAATTGTGCGGCGGCATATCTCACAGCATGCCGGGCAGGACCAGCAGCGATTTCCCCAAGGCGTGCAGAATTCCCAGGCTAAGATCGGATGAGCATCAGGCAATGTGCGGGGATGGACATTCCACGGCATCTCCGAGGATTCGAGGGTAGATTCTTCCTCTTCCTCTTCTCGCAAAATTCATCGGAAAACGAATCCTCGTGTGTGCGCCATTTGTTATTTCCTTTGCGTCGGCTTTCCTGCGTCTCTTGCTCGCTTGCGGCCTGCCATGAGGGGAACGTGCCGCGGGAACAAGTCGGAACATGCTTTGGGAACAAGAGCGAACAGGTGGGGACAAGTGAGTGGTGTGCAGATCGCCATACATCTTCTGACACGTGGCATCGGACACACGTAGGGAGTTTGGCAATATTGGTCTTCGTTGACGACGTGGGGATCAGGATGAGGGATTGAGAACGCATGTGGGAACGCGATGGAGGGGCGTCACTTGTCTGTGCCCATGTTAGGAACGTCCTTCAGTCGGATTCTGACACTGTTTGGATAATGATACAATTACTGTGGTTGCATTGCAAACCTAATACATTATTATTATTATTATTATTGTTATGATTTTATTTGTTTGTTTCGTTATATTTTGACACTAGCGGGTTGTAAATAATGCATTTCTGTTAGTGTGAGTGGTTACAATAAGGGAATACATGGCGCTAACATCCCGGGCAGGCTCGAAAGCATTTCTGCTTATCTACCTCAATCCTTTTAGTGTCAGTTAGCTGATCTACCTCCACGGATTATTAGTGTGTTCAGTGGGACCTTAGAATTCTAGCGGATATTTTTTATGTTTACTTTGACAAATAATATCGTTTTATCCATCCACAACCTATTTAAATTCTTTGTGTTTGTCTAGGTGGTTTCCCATATCGTTCTCATATCATCCATTTCCATCCTCATTCTATGTCCCTAGTCTCTCATCCTTTATTTCAAGCCTCCCGTCTCCATTCCACATCCTCCATCTCTTGTTTCCAACCTTAACCTCCCACACTCATCTCTTGTTTGAGAATTATGTGTGTCATTATTATGTATTTTGGGATTTTTTTCTTATTAACAATCAAAGTATATATTTCAAACTCCTTTCTAATCATCTTTGATTATTTAAAAATATATATTTAAAATAGTGATATTTAATTCAAATAATACCTGATTTAAAAATAAAAGAACATAGATTATTTATAAATTAAATTAAATTAAATATAAGTGAATATGAGAGCAAAATTCTAACTTTATTTATAAAAATACTTAATTTTTATGTTTTTAAATATGAAATATTATATTATAATAATCTCGTCATATATAAATAAACAATTTAAATATATACTATATTATGAAATAATCGAAGTAATAAAGGATCAATACATTTATATATAATACTTACCAAAATTTGTAGGTTATAGCAAATTTCAAGTAAATAAATGAATAGATTATTAATCATTAGTTGTAACACATGATGTAGCATTGGGTGTCAAATCCTATCAGATGTATATAATTTAGTTTGGTTTAGTGGTTTTTCTATCTATTTAGTTTTTTTCTATTAGTTGATTTTGTTAAGTTTAACTAATTTTTGAATATTTAGGTGGAAAAATCCCTTGACTTGGTATTCTTCTGAAATCAAGTCTTATGAGTGGTTTTTGACAAAGAGAAAGCTTGTTGTAAGGATTTTATTTGGCTATTTTTATGAACTATTTAATAAAGTTTTAAATTTTTTCTTCCACTCACACTTGCACTTTTAGATTCTTCCCTTGTAGTTTGAGAGATAACTTTACTTACTTGTATGGAGATTCTTCTTCTTTTCTTAAAATTGTGCTGGTTGTGCATTTGTATTTGGTTTAGATTACATACTTTGTAATTGGTTTACAACACTTGATGTATTATATATAATAGTCTTTGTTTATACAACAACTTATTAATATTTGGTGATAAATTTTAAAAATTATAGTGTTTTACTATGTAATTTAGCTTCCTCTTAATATAACAATAAATCAATTGTGTACCTCTATCAGCATAAGGAATTTTTATAATACCTTAGCCCTTCAAGAAAGGTCAACTTTTTCTACAAGATAATTAATTTTCTTTGCCTCTTGTAATTCTTGTATTAAATTTTATTCTTAAAATTTGTATTGATAATGCTTCATTTTTAGAATTGTTATTAGCATTAGCTTTTAGTTTTAATTTGTATGCATCTATTATAAGTCTTAACAAAATCTTTTCAAAAACTTAGAAATTAATAAATTGATATTAAACTAAATACTAAACTATCAAAAGAGATATACAAACTATTCAAAAATAATTTGTATAAGAGTTTTGGCTAGATTTGTTTTATTAAGTGTAGCCATTTGATTTTTAATCTCACAAGTTGTCTTTAAAAACTCTTCCTTATAAGTAAAATTTTAAAATTTTAAAATTGATAATTTGTAGTTGAATACTATAGTAAGATCTTCACTTTTATATTTGTCTTTTAATTTTTTTTTTTATGTGTTTGTTGATTTGTCATATTCTATTACCATATCTATTAAATAGTTTTTTATAACAAAAGTAAGTATTTTCATTGCCTTTGTGTTTATATCATGTATTAGAGTTTCTTACAATAAGAATCTATTGTATAAATATGGATATATTTTTAATATGAGTTTCTCAATGGTGAACTTCCATACATTTTTTGTTAACAAAAAAATCTTAATCTTTAAGCTCTAAACATGGAAATTATCATCATTGACGAGTTTGTTGGTCAATGTGTAAAGAATCATTGGAGCTTATGTCAAGGACAAAAACTTAATGAATGTAAGTAAATAAGTGAGATGTTTTTCAAAGAAAGATAATAAAAAGAAATCAAGTGAATATTTATATTCAAATAGAAATTGGAATAGCTATTGCTAAAAGATAAGAAAATTAGAGAGCCTTAAAATTTGACTAGAAGCAAGAAAGGAATTGACAAGAGTGAGAAAAGACTTATTCTTACCTCTATATATACTATCTAACTAGCTACGTGGTGATACACTATAAGATCTCTAATACATATTCAATTCACATGACATATGTCTAACTTGCAAGCAAAGTTTTCTATATGTGTACTACATGTATAACTTGTACTGCAAGTTATTAATAAGTGGAACATGTGGCAAACTTATTGGCCAAGTTTTCAAACTATCAATTATGTATAGACATTTATATAAGCAAAGCTATCCCTATGAAGTTTTTTTTATAAGATATTATCAAATTTATCTACTTTATTTTATTTCTATCTATTCATATTATCTAGATAATTATTGAAGTAAATATGTATGTTTGTGATAGTTCAACATAGTTGCTTCTCTATTACGTTCTCTTAGCAAATAAAATACTCAATACAATATATTTCTTCTACTCTATAGAAAAAAAATTGTGACACTTGTAGATTCTCCAAGCCTTACTTTGATACCATGTAAGATTTATATAATCAAGAAAGTGATTTTATTTGCATTTTAGAGTTTAATATATACATTCAAACAAGAATTATTTAATCAATTCAAATCAATATTTTATTCTAAAATCTATTTGAAAGTTTACCTCAACTTAAGAATGTGCCTAATGTATACCCTATCCATGTTGAAAATTGGCAGGTATTGAGTTCATCCTTGTACATCTAGAATATTAGTCTTGTATCGGCCATGTATTATGATGGAAACTCTAAGTGCTCTTTTTCACCAACACCATGATATGCAATGCCCTTTCTGTCACAATGGTTTATAAATTAGGTCCTCAATTTAAAGAGCTAGTATCAATCGAGCTATTGGACTAGTCTTT